AAATCATACACGGTATACACGACAGTACTGGTGAACGTGGTTTTAACATCCTGTTACGTCATCGTCGCATTATTTGTGCCTTTGATTCGTACGGAATACAAATTTCGTTCCTTTTTTGAAACTGCAATTTTGAAAAGAGAAACGCAACGCAGGTCCTTGTAAACCCCTTATTTAAATTAGTGCTCGTTAGAGCAGCGAAACTCACGAGCAAATAGAAGAATTACTATGGCACACTTAAAGCGGGTGCAATTAAATTTGCAGAAAATAATCGTACGATATCTTTCAGGTGCTAAAAGAGGATTCTGATTCTGTTTACTCAGACTTATTATCAGTTGGTTGATTTTTTCGTTACATAATCTTTGACAGAACGAACAATTTCCAACATCTAATTAATAGAATAATAGTAATATGCTAATAGTAAAAGAATAAAATTAATTTAGAAAATTTTGTCTTTAGAGTATTGGAGTTTAAATTGTATTGTGCTGTTCTCATTTTTCTTCGAATGCTAATTGAAAATGATATTTCTATGAAAAGTGATTCGAAACGCGGCTTCAAGGATCAATCGTCGTCACGGTTGTAACTCTAGCAATGAGTAATTGCATTTCTAGGTGAGAATTCTGACTAAGTCGTAGTAGACTTCCACCAGAAGGTAAATACCGAGTTCATTTAAAGAGAACATGACTTTATAAATGATATTATCGCACTAAGATGCTTTACTTAGGCTTATCAAATATTTGTCGATGATATTTCGTTGGCAAATATTATGTAATCGCGATCTTTTTTTTTACCATTGTGCCATTTAAATTAATTTCCAAGAATTTTGCAACGCAGTCACCTTTTCTTTTTAAATCCTTCGGCTTGAAACTAAAATTATAGATTTAAATTTGTAAGATAATTCATACAGTTCAATTTAAGTTTATTAAGGCGTAAGAACTGTGTCGTTAGCATAGTGTAGGAAATGAACGAGCAAGTCGCCGGATGCACTTGTTTCTGACTGGCACGACTAATTTGCCCAAGGAATCGCGACGAATTAAACGAATTCCAAGCGACTTGTATCGCCATTCTCGCAATCACCCAAACGAATCGAGTGTAAAATTCCTTAATAACAATATGATCCCCCATTTCCCACCAGGAAGATGATTAGCGATTATTTGAAAAATAATTCTTGTTCAACATTGGGATACACGCTCGTTCAATCATATTTTATATAAATTAAAGAAAAAAAAAATTTATAATATTGTAAAGGTTTGTATTATTGATTTCTTGTCTTCAATCTTTTTTACCGACAAATCTATCAATTACCGATTACAGGTAAGCGCGCTGCCCCGTGGCGCACCCTGGCGGGAAACGGCGGAACCCACTTTGCCGCGAATTAAACGCGCGCTAATATTTGAATTTCCACGATCGGTAAACTATAAAATTTTGTAACTTTGAACGCGTTTAAATGTGGTCTGCAACGCAAGGAGCATTTCATGATATTTCTGGTATTTTGGTAGTTAAAATAATTAAACAATTTACACATATGTGAATATAACTACTATGTTATTGAATTTAAATTTAAATTGAAAACTACATTCTAACGGGAACGAATAAGCATGCAAGTTAGATCTGTCTAGGCTGCAAAATAAATATCTATAAGAAGGCGACGCAAACAAACAACTACTTGCTTCCACTGATTGTGACTTAGCCAATTTATATTTTTAAACTGATGTAACTTCACCGCTGGCCTCAATTATTTGACTCGAGACTTTAACCTCTTATTGGCTCGTTATTATTCCGACAGTAACACTTATCATGCACAAACAATAGGTTGAATCATATTACTTTTGTAAATTAAAAAAAAAAAAAAAAAAAAAAAATGATAATTTGTAAGATGATATAAATGCCATTGACCGTGAAAAGTAAAGGGACTATTTTCAATTCGAGAGAAATTTTCAGAGAGTTTTTAACTACTTTCACGTGCGTATACAGTTATTGTCAAGGTGAAATACTGAAATGGTATAGGCAGAGAGAACCTACATGAATTATTTAGGGCGTACTATATCCAAGAACCTTCTAGATCATGATAGCGGCTACCCTTAGAACGGTGAATAAATTTTCATTTAACAGACATACGGTGGCGAATAAAGATAAAATATTTAAGACATCGGCAAGGTTAATCGATAGGGCTATATACTCAAATCGTGTGAGCTTATAGGTTGAAATTAAAAAAAGAGAAGGTACTCGTATGGAAGTATAGAAAATCATTACTTTCAAAGAATAAAATTAAGTTAATTTTATCAAGACAACGTCATTCGATCGAGTCTAAATTTATCTTCATTTTTATTGATATTTTCTCATATAAAAAATAGCAGTCGTGAAAGACTTTCTGTAATTTAGATATCATAGGTAGAAAATGCATTTCTAAATGGAATTATTTCTGACAAAATAATAATTGAAGATTCAACATACGATCGAACGAGATTATCGTGGGTATAGTGTCGCGAAGAATCGATCGAGGGGAAACCGTCGTCGTCGTCGTCGTCGTCGCCGTCGCCGGCAGCAGCAGCAGACGAGCGTGCATTCCGGTTTGTAACTGTGTATATGCAGTTCACGTATACATGCATATACACAAACGCGAAACGACGCGTTCCTTGCACGCAGAGCTCCGATCGGGAGACCGCCAACTATCAATTTCCGTTTTGAATTACCAAACGCCATAACGCATGCACGCGCCGCTCAAACGAATCTCCGGTCTTCGTGACTTAACGAGGTTCCTACTAAGAAACGCATCGATGCACATTTCTTCTTCGCTAATAAGACCGCCTTCTTCCTTGCATACATTTCGGCTGACGATAAATCAGAATTCACACGATATAGAACAACGGGGACGAAACTTTTTATTCAGTTTCGCCATCTCTTGGAAATTACTCGAAACAGAAAATAAATGTTCCGAAATATTCTTTGTATGATAATTAACTGACGACGAATTGAGCCGGCAAACGTATTAAGGCAATTAACTATTTATTTATAATAATATTAAATAGGTAGTTAACTAGCATGGGGGTGACCGGCGCCATTAATCTAATAAACGATCGTATCCTTAATAATTTTTATTCAAGTATTCACCGTCCTATACGATGACCATTTCCACTATGCCAGTAAAAATAATTAATTATTTTAAATTAAGTAGCTGTAAATCGCGGAGAATCGAAAGGATGCTATTGAAAATGAAGAATTTGAGAATCACTGGATATACGTCCCTGGTCTTACGTAATCAGACTGCACCCACTCGTTTTACTGCACGTAGTCTGACCGTAATCTGTCAATTTACTTTTGACAGTATACCCAGAGAACGGAAATCCGATGCAGCGCACCTTACGATTTGCATATTCGATATATTTTCAAATCATTCAATTCGATACCATCGATCAAGGCGAATCGACAATGTTCGAGAATTGTGTAACAGTCGAGATAACCGGAAACGAGATCCACCGGTATGCCGAGAGATCTTTTCGGAACAAGAGTGGCGAAAATGAAACCGATCGAATTAATGATCAAAAATATTGTATATCATGAGATAGTTAATTAGGACAACAATTCTACATGTACTAATACTTGAGAATTATCGCGTTAATGTTGTTCCGTGCAAAATCAAAATCAATAGCCAGGGAAAATGAACGTTTCGTGCGGAAAGAAGAACCACAAAGATGTAATACGGTATTATTGAAACCATCGAAGTGAGATCGATAGTAACTACGGTAAAACGACACTCGACAGTGTTTCTTAAAATCGATCTTCTACTGTAATCCTATCAAACTTGAAAACAATAAGAATTATCAAGAGAATTCCATTAGGAAGAACTTGTAATTGAGACAGTTATTTTTAGTTTTGTAAAATAATACATAACCTTGAAAGACGAAGCAGAAAAGTCATATCTTTTAGCGAACCTTAATTTGACTCGGACACTCGTGAATCATGAGATATTTCTCATGAAACAGAGGTTAACGTTTCCATTAAAATATGCATTCACAGGACACGTAACTATTATATCTCTGCGATGTATATCACGTTCAGTGATATAACTTTTAAATACATATTCTTCTGAATGTTTTGGAAATTGCAAGAGCATTAATTATGAAACTTTCATTGACATATTAAGAATCTTTGAACAAATGACTGCACATATTGGCAACCTTTCTAAAATTTCGTTACAATGTATCACGTGTAATTGAAATTTTAGATATTATGTATCTCTTCTTTAAATATTTGCATATGCAAACTTATGAATGAAAAGATTGTATAAAATATATATCAAAAATTGAATCAGGAAAATTATTTCAACGAAAAACCGTATATAAATTGGATTAATACAGCAGGTCGGTTCGCTAACCTAAAAACCGGTATATCGAGAGATCGCAACGTAGAATCGCCACGGAGATTATCGAAGATTGACTCGACGATGAATCATTACTTAAATACGCGTTTCAATTCTAGAGAATCAACAGAACAAACCATGCCGATCTCTGAGGTCGACAATCGATGGATCGTTTAATCGTTTACCGGCGACACAACCGTTCTCTCATAATTCATATTCCTTTTGGAATTTATAAATATTCCAAATTATTTCAAAGATTCTTTCGATCGACACGATTTGCACGTTTAGTCGAAGCGTAATCGGTTCGCGGAAAAGAACGTTTTGTGCAAAGGTATGGAAATATCCTGCTTACCTTTGCAGACAAAAGAAAGTCGAAGGATGTGTTCTGAGAGTTAGTAGTCCTCGGGCACGTCGTATGCAGGCACGAGTCGGAAACGAAGTGGCGCGGAATCAACTCGCTTCGCGACAGCCGAGAACCTCTCCTCTCTGCCTCGGCCAATCGCATCCCTCCTTTGTACATACTCCACCTCACCCCTCGATCCTCTCCCAGGGACGGTCCGCGGTCCAGCTACGTTCCTCTGTTCCGTTATTTCTACGAGGACTCCTTTGGTTGCTACCTCGACTTTTTTATTTTCTCCTCCTAATTATCCTTCGCTAACAGAAGGATCATTTGTAAGTTCTTCCGGAAATAACCGAAAACGAGGGAAGGGGTAATAGAATATGTAATGTATTCTACGGTTCAACGTCGACACTGTGCTTACCTGTATTTGTAATACCGGAACTCGAACCGGTCCCATTTATAACCAGAAAGACAGAAGACGGTAAATTAGAAACGATCAATAATTAAATCAGGTATCAATAATGAAATTAATAATACAATAATTTATAATACAACTCAACTTATTTAATCACTGTCAGCTACTTGGCAACTTCGAGATAACGATTATCTGGGATTATTATCGATAATCGAATCGATGAAATCGAAGATAGAAAAGAAACACGTTCAGTCACCTGTTTCTGATGGAACAACTACGCGAACAATTGACAACTTACAAAATAAATTTCAAATGTAAGGATAAATCTTATGAATAGTTATTGTATTATTTTAATTGTGTAATTTGATCGTAGAATATCTTTTTGGGCGTAAAACATAATGAAATTGGTTATGTTTTTCAGTGAACGTTGTATCAAAGAGCAAACGATCGATAATCGATTTTCTCTGATCATGCGATTAGTACGTTGAAGTTAAACTTCCATAACTGTTTGATTGTTATCCAATTCAAAAACTATATCATTTTTTAAATCTTATCTGTGTAATTATAAAATGAAACTTAAAAAATCACTTGTTTCAGGTTAAAACACTACTTTAATGTTAAATCACTCACACGAAATAATTCTACGGTGAACAAAGTAATTACAGCATCCTCCTACAGAGGACAAGGTCTGCTCTCGATCTTATGAATCATAGCGTTCGTAAAGCATGTTCAGGTCGTTCTTTCACCGTTCGTGCAAAAAAGAGCAGCAGAGTTCAGTGATCTGGAAAGTGTGGTTGCGACTAATGCTTAAGGAATCTTTGAAGAGTACCAGCCACTATGAACACCAAATATTATCTATCCTATCTATATTTACTATATATGTGTACATATATTAATCAGACACTGTACCAGTTAAAATGCGATGGTCTATAAATAACGGATACCGTATTCGCACCTGAAATTCTTTAGTGGATTATGACGTTGTATTTGTCGACCATGACACAACGTGTGTGCAAGTAGACGTAATCTTCTTTAGACGGTACACGTGTATTTAATTCTGTCGACGCTCTGCACCTTTTGATACCTTAGGAGTAACCTGGTTTCATACATATTCAATTATTCTTTTTTCTAACTGTAAATTTACATGTTTCAAAAGCTTAATTTATCATGTTTCAGCGTACATCGAGGAAGCGTTTGCATTCTCAGACTGTTCGATGAATTTTTTAAATTCGACCACGCGTACCGGTCCGTTTCCACGTTGTTCCCTGGATTTCTCCAAATATATGGGTCATGGAGCATTTCCAGAGAACTGTGGAACCCGGGAGTGTCGCTTGGCCGTTACGAAATCAGCTGTGCGCCTGTCGCTGCTTGTTGTAGGTCGTGTCAGGACTCCTCCCGACCTCCCTTCTTCTCGTTCCCTCTCATTCCATCTAATGGAAGAGGTGGCAGAGAAGAGGGGATATTTAAAGGTCGCTTCAACTGGAGATCAATACGAAACCTACATACCTACCTTCCCTATCAGCCCAATGGGAATGCCCAAAATGATCTTCCTCTTTCAATCGTTTCACCCCGTCAATTGACCTCTATCGAAAATGTATTCAAATTCAAACAGCAAGACTATACGATTTTATAATTGGAATAGAAACATTGTTCAATATTATTAGAGAAGTTCAGTAAGGATTTAAGAGGCATAGGATGATATACATACAACGAGCTCCATCATTATCTCTGTTTATCTTGATGGGCGGAAGAAAGCATTTCAAAGGAAAAGATTGCCTCTTTGAGGGAACAGGTTTTTTTTTCAGGGTCAACTCTTTTACCATTTTCAAGGTCATCCATATTTTTCATTCACGTTGGTTAATTCAAACGAAGCGTTTAACATTAAATTAATATCTAATTGTAACTTCGTGTTTCAGATCGAAACACATTACCAATGTCATTCAATGGACAGACAAGTACGGAAATGTTTATTTGCAATCGATACGTTTGAAAATCGATCGGTTTCGAATAACGTGTATTGTGTTCGAGACCAGAGAAGAGCGCGTAATTGTTGACGACGAAGAGAATGGAAGGTTTATGATTTCTAAGTCTACCTGGAAAGTACAATCGAGTATTAAACTATGCTGTTGAAAACAATGTATATTTAAACATTCCATTGGTATAATACAGGATGATCATCCGAATAATTATGTAACACTTTAAGCTTGCTGGCACAAGGTGGCCAGTAAAATTACGTCAATGGCCGGGGGAAATTACTTTTCCTCGCTAGATACGTTATTTTTATCCCGAGATCTGTTTTGCGGTATTTTCTCATCACTCTGACTTTAAGTGAAACACACAAGGTATCTATTTTTTGCATTTCTCTGGGAAACCACCCGAGCTATAACAATTCTTAACGTATGATAATGTTGCTCCGTTAATGGAGCAGAATGTAAAATGAAGTAACTTTCTGTTTTCTCAGGTAACGAATCGACGAATGTTTCAAGGGAGATCGCGCCTACCGGAGCCACCCAAGAAGAAACTGACCAGTTGAACCGTGTAATCTCCCACAAAAATTCCGCTTTAAATGCCACGATAAACTCATTAAATGAATGGTTTAACCGCCCAGAGAGCTATGATTTTATCGCATGACTGACTGGCACCGAGTACAGCAAATATTTGTCGTCCAGTTTCACAGCAGAACACCACGTAACTGCTATCGATCTAGCTATTTTTGTAGCTCAGACAACAAAACTATAAATCTTCTTCACGCAGCGATGAACCGAAAAGTAATCGTATTCAATCATTGGCTAAGGGCAGTTTTCAATGCCAATGTCTCTTGACCGTGTTAACCGGTGTTTGGTAATTTCGACACGCTTCTTGAACAAAATCAGTGACAGTCAGGTTGCTTCTTTGTTACATAATGTTGGCCAAAGATTCCGCTTTCGTATACAATTGTTTTCCGTGAAAACGATTAACCACGCCAAGATTATCTTACTGGCATTCCAATTTGGAACACATGCTGCTATTTGCATGTTTACTTATCCATTTTGTCACGCTTTTATTTTTTTTTTTTTATGATTAATTCATTTAAATGTTGTGTGTGGAAATATTTGTATTTTTATTTATTGTTAATATATTACGTATTCTGTTGTACATTTTTATTATATCATACTTGTGAGTTTCGAAAACGGACTATCTGTCTTGATATTGACACAACTTATCGATCAGACGGATTAAACTTGGCAAGGTATATTAAAACGAAACGAAATTTCGTAAGAATCGTGACTATCAGCACGTAAAACTTTGAACATCGCCGCAGTTCCATAATAGTAGGTAACAAATACTTGTTACACTTTCAACAAAATAATATAAAGAGCCTTGTTATATACGATTCACGTATCAAATCTGTCCATGACCTCTCAATGAACTCATTTGGATCAATTGTTGACACCGAGTTGATATGTGGCCAATGAAATTAGTCAGTAGGACAATTAAGTGCATCACACTGATAAATCCTGAACAAGATGCTAATCATTACTAAGAACAACTATAACAAGTGGTTTTACTTGGCATCATCCACTTATCTACTTTGATTTTTCAATAGATTTACCGATGTCTGATAAATAATCAATTACTACAATAGTACACACTTTCCATAGTACTGAACTTTGAAATTTGTATTATAGGTATTGAATTGGAAGACTGGTCGATGCAGAGGATAAACAGAAGGAAAGAGAAGCTCGAGAATAACCGGATGCACTATATCCATTACTTCAAGAGACCCGATATATCTTACGCAAAGCACAATTATCTAGCAGTTCAACAGAGCTTAAATTTAGCGAGGAATTTTGCTAAGTCGTCGAGACCGTAAAGACTGGAGGGCCCAGCCAGTGCAGTGCTGGGACCGAAATACACGTCGAATACACCGACGCTGCACGAATTGTTTTTCTCGTTGTTGCTTTTTTACCTTGCTGTTTCGTTAAACCTTCTTGGTCTTGGTACAGTCTGGTAAATAACTTGGCTTTCTTCAAAACAACTAATGCGTTGGCATAAAGCCATGTATACTGTTTTCTACCTATGAACATTCAACTAATCCTCCCATCATAGCCCCTCAGATATTTTACCAATGAATTAAATTGACAACGAGAGAAACAAAACATCACACGTGTAGGACAATTGAAATTGTACCTGTAAAATGTATTTTTACAAAATTCCTACCTGACAGGTAGAAACGAACGATCTGTCGAGCATCGAAACTTTTATTAACAAGCCAGGCTGCGATACTCTAATGCATTTATGTCGTAAGATCGCGTCTTAAGACATCGCTCCCTTGCTCGAGCATCGTGGTGGCCGTGAAATCAGCCACGCCGACCATTCTAAAATCGTGCCAGAATTTCTTGCCAAATTTAATTGGAACCTCGCTGTCTTCTCTGTCTTCTCTGTATGTATATGGTCCGAAGAATTTATTTATTTATTATATTACAACCACCTGGTGCAAGGATTGTTCAGTCAACTGTGGTAAAAATATAGGTGGAATTAATAAACTTTAATTTTTGCAGATGTAACCCGCACCTGCAATCTTTCGTCGCTTATCAGCTGCTAATTTATCGCTTGATAGCAGTCCTCCAATGTATCAGCGAACAATTTCTGGATAAACGTTCATTGTGGAATATATAGATGGTAAAAAATATTCGACTTGTTATCTCGCTGGGAGTAAAATTTGTTCCAATAATAGAAATCTTGGAGCTCTAGGAACAGTCGAAAATAGATGATGTGCTTGAGACATTGATCGATTACCATTTTCATCAAAAATACCATGAGAGTCTTGAACTTACAAGTTACAAGGAAATTTCTTTTTCAAAGGACAAGCTATTTCTGTACGTGTATAGAAAACTTTGGATGAACTGAGTCTTTGAAAAATCGTGAAACACGAACACGTGCAGTTACTTGGATTATATAAGGAACCTCGCGTAAGAACTGCTAAACGATAATGATTTGTTAGTTTACAGGTTGGTTACACGTTCTGTTACGAAACGGATTGTTAGCAAGTTGAAGATACAAGATGTTTCGAGAATAAAATTTATTGAGTCTGATGACTTTGTTATCAGCAGACTTCATTTTTTAATTATCAGTAATATTCCATTTGAAATAAATGATAAAGAAGTTAGGACTTTCTAAATCTCTTGGTCTCGGCGATTCATCAAACAAGATTCTTCAAAGGATACACCTCAGGATAGATGGTTACCCTCGACAAGTGGTATTAAAAATTGAAGTTTGTTTGCGTAAGGTTTTAAGCTCGTTTATATTTCCTGGTACGTGTTCGTACGCGGCTCAAAATAATCAGAGGCTGCTGCTCAAATGATTTTACTGCTCTCCATGCGTGTAAATGTTTCATAAAAAAGCTGTTGTTACATTACAGAATATCTCTTCTATACCATTCAGTCTGAGTTTGCGGAGTCTCGGTCGCATTCGATCTTCAGCCTCAGGTGTTTATGCAAATTTAATTGTCCGTGGCAAAACTTTTTGGTGAGCACCAATCTCGTCATCACGATACACACCACGTGGTAATAGCTCTAGGAAAACTATGCAGTCTATTTTCGAGCTTGAGGATTCGCTGTTGTCGGGTGGAATCGCGGGATCTTCCTCTCTTTGCGTGTAAAGAAAGGTCTTTTGCTAGAATACCAACTGTTTTCCTTTCTCGTTCGCAGAAAGGTTCTACTGTATTTTTAGAACCGGTTCCACGATTCAAATTTTTTTGCTCCTTTCTTTACTTTCAACTTTTTTTTACAGAGAAGATGAAAGATACCTTAATCCTCTGATGCTATTTTATAGGCTTAAAATAGCTTGAATATTTTGACATAACAGTTGGCAAACTCTGACTTTAAGTACATAATATCCTATCATTTCAATTTATAATATGCTTGGATTTCATGTACATATAACATAAAACAGGTATCTTATTTTGATTAATGTGTAATTTTAATCTTATTGTAAATGACTGTATCGGTAATACTGTTTTTCTTTATATTTTAGGCATTAAGAATCGAAGATAATTTTATAAGGTATAAATTGAAGTTTCTTGCGTGAGGAAGATAAATTTTAGCAGGGTCTGTAGGGCGGATGAAACTCTCCCTCGGTGCAGAATACATTATATTGCTTTTATTTCGCTTATGCCATGCGTACTAGCTGCATTCTATTTCTCTTGCTTCAGCTAATTTCATCGGTGCTTGGTGGAGGGATCTTGCGAATGTTTGTCGACGACTGTCTGGTGATATTTTGAGACAGTTGCCTGTTGACAATATTTAATAGTCTGCAATCTGTCATGACATTTTTATGTATATATAAATTTGATATCAATGCATTAATAAGTGTAAAGCACTGATGGAATGTTAATAGAATTTGAATTTAATTTGAGATTTAAAGATTGGAGAGATTTCTATAATTGTTTTAACTTATTTATATAAGAAATTATCAGTAATTGTTATTTTATTGAATTGCAAATAAGATATGGGATAGGCCACCCATTGAATTCCTTTACTCGAGAACTCAGAAGGTCCCTTATCAACTTTGTATCAAATTCTACTATATCGATTGGGACGGTATTTCATTATAACGCTATCAGTGGTAGGAATTAAAATTAAGAACTCTTTTTGAAATCTTTCTTTTTATAGAAAGAAAAACGGCTGTATATTGGACCACGCTTCCATGCTTTCAATACCCTTTTTTTGTATTTTGTAGATATTAGTCTGTGATCTGATTTCAAAATCATTTTTGTGGTGTCTGAATGAATCTGTAAAATCTGTGTTATACGCGATCATTAACAGATGTCTCTACCCATCGCGATAAGCAGCTAGTGTTGATAACATAGAGCACTTCATATGAAAGTGCAGCTAACACATATTCCAGGATGAACATATGAAACTTTTATCTATTTTGTTAAAACAGAATATTTTAGCAAAAATCCATCATCATGTAAGTCAATTCTAACAGAAGATTTCATAGAATTTCTTCAGTGTTCATGATACATGGTACATAAAAAATGTTCTTAATTTCAGGAGAGTGTTATTATTATATAAAGGATCCTGAAGCCGAGGGTATGCTATTGCGAGTCTGTGAAAATTCCATGGATATCGTTCCCTCTTTCAAATCGAGTTGACAATTAAGTATTTAGGGTGGCTGCGGGTCGCGTGTCAGAGGGAGTCATCTTCGCCAGCATGATCGTACGTAAAAGCATATGGTTTTTGTATGGTGTCTAGAGTGGGGCTTGTTGAAGACACTCAACCATATAAATTTTATATCAAGCACTATCGTACCTTAAAAAAAAAAAAAAAAACGTTTAAATCATAGTACTGAATAATTACTTTTTAACTTGTAATAATCGAACACTTGTTGGATTTTTCTTTTTTACCGAATTTCATTTCCTTCTTTTAGAAAGCGATCTTAGGGGAGATTAGCCGTTCATCGATACTCGTATGCCACAATTCTAAGGATATATGGGCGCAGTTTTGTAGTTCTTTCCCCGGATCACATAAAATTCCGTGTAATCAGATCTAAAGACATCCCACGTAACATTCCCACCCGCAGTCATGTTATATTATTATACGTAGACGATCTTATGCGGGATGATAGTCCGACGTTTTTACCTCTCACCCTCCTGTATCAGAGGATTCTATGAGAAACTGAATTTCTCGTTCTCACGAAACATGGGGGTAGAGGTCCTCGACTAATTGCCCATCAATGTGGATCACAGTCTCTGTACGAAAAATTTCTATGGCATATTTGCTTTCATTCGCGTGAGAATCAGAGCTTCTCTCAGACTTTTCACGAATGTTGCTTCTATGGAGTTTTTATAGGTAAGTTTAAAAAATTGAAAATGATAATATTGTGGGTTATTAAAATCTAATCAAGTTATACTTTGTTATACTATAGATTGATATTAGAGGAAAAATATGAATAAATCAAGGTATCATTAGAAGAAACACCCTGTACGCGAATAGAGGACATACACGATGGCGACGGATGTGACTACGTCGGGTTAATAAGGATGCGACGTCATCGGGTTGCGACGTTACATTTTCTTCTTTCAATCACGATCTCTGAATCCAAGATTAAACGCCAGTTTAATTACCATTGCCATTAAGCACCAGGTTTACGACGTTTTTATAAAGAACAATCATGAAAAAATCTCAACACTTTCTTTATAAGAATTAAAAAGTTCTATTAATTCTCAACTCTAATCTATTTTTACCTCGTAGCATTTACTGCTGGAACCAATACACCTGTTGCACCTCGACTGACGATGAAAGAAACGTTCGCTACAATTAAAGGAATTCACCTTTTCTCAAAAGCAAATCTCAGGTAGAATCTACGCGTGGACTCGAATTTTTGAATGGACTGTGTGATATTGAATATTACAAAGGTTTCCGTGTCAAGTCGCGGGTGCAGATCAGCTACCAGTATATTTCTCCTGAAAATATATAACATTAAATCTTCAACGTCACCCATCTTCCTACGCTTTGATGCGTGAAATGTACCAGCATGATATAAAATGACTAATACCAATGATACACGTCAAGTCTCGCATCGTGCATCGACTGCTGGGATATTGCTGCCATTTCTATGGGGGTGAAAAGGAGAAAAAAATGTTTATTGCGATATCTCGATCAAGAATCTCATGTGGGCACGTTAATTCGTAGACCTTACTGTAATAATTGCTTACGATGGAACACGAATTTCCCTCAAACTAACAATTAGCCATCTTACATGAAAAAATTAATGGAAAACTTACGCAGTAATTTTCATGAAACTTTCAGCTTTAAATTTTAATTTTAATTTTAAGTAAGTGTTGTTTACCGATTCTTTAATACAACTACGTAATACATCGGTCAAGATAATTAAATATTATTCTAAGCAATATATTCCTTTAAATAATATCTCAGAAGATTCGTTGAATTATATTTGAACATTTTCAGAGACAGATGCTCGGACTGTACCCGGAGGAAGTCCTGAGAATGCGTTCACCGGCGATATCTGCGCGAACAGAGAAACGTGAGTATGGCCGGCGAATAGCGGAGGTTCCCCGTCGCCTTCGCGCAATTACATCCAATTGAACTAATTCAGTCCAATTGACGTTAACAGGCTCAATTGGTCGGTCCTGGTAGTGTTCACTGGGGCCACCACGGCAATACTATCCGGTCGGCGCATACCTACGACGTAAAAAAAGCGGCTCGCGTGCAAAAAGATAGATACCCTGAACGTCCTGTCCAATCTAAATATACATACATATATACGTATAATACATCTGAACGAGCCGTTGTATCGAGCCTTTTGTCTGTCAGCTGCAATTTTTTCTTCTGGACCAAACAATTGAAACAGAGTCTTCATCGACTTGGAGTAATTGAGGCGAAAACTATGAAAATTTGGAGCAATTTAGATCTTGAAAAGGAGGATCTCTATTATATTCTTACATATTCCGTCACTTTTATGAACCATTATAATTATTAATATTATTTTGAAGAAAATTTAGTTGAATATGTAGAATTAAAATTTGTAATTGTTTTACAGAAATGTAAACAGAAGTCTGTCTGGGAGGAAAAACGACGTAAGTGGTTTCAGAACATAGTTATTGAAGGACAAATATGGTCGGAAGGGGAAGAGGTGGAGCCAAGAAACTCCTTCTATTTTGCTGGCCGACGTAGTGGGAGCAGAGCGTATCATATCCATTTCGTTCTCATCGTTCCTCCGGCTCTTTACCCCTCTCTTGCTTACCATGAAGAAGTAGTGGGAAATAATTATTCTGTCTTCTCTGTCTTCTGTCGTCAACACCCCCCAACTTCAATTTTGTCCCTTACGAAGTCTGTCATGTGCTTCGACATGTCGGGTAACTTTTTTGTTTGAAACATAATGGTATTATTTGATAACTTTTATTATTTCACCCAGGTTCAAAGGTTAATATTTTTTATTTGAGAAAAAGAAAAGCACATATGGTACTCGTAATACAAAGGAAAGGAAGCAAGTAAACTGTCACTTATATTTTTGACGTTGATCGCCACGATAGAAAGGTATTGAAAACTAATTTTTTAATATTAACAGAGAAACTCATACATGTCTTCGGTTTATTAAATATTACTTCCACTCAACAATTACCACTTCCACCAAACAGTAGAAAAAAAAATTAAACTTTCTTTTCTAATTACAACAGACGCTTAATCCATGTGGAGACTGCATTTGTAAAACCATGAGGAGGAATTTGAATGTGCCGCGCGACAAGCTGTCACTTTCACCAAGCACGTGTTTCCTGTTGCACACTCATCACCAGAACTGTTCGGCCAGAATCGGGCGAGATCGCCTCGCTTGGAACACCGTCTGCACTTCCTGAAGAAACCTCTGTCTCAGTTAAGCCTAACTCAAACAACATCTTCAACGACGTTCATCTTCGGATAGGAATATAAAAAGTCTCGATTACTGAAACCCACGACAACACCACCGAGGGTGTCGGACACGGAAGAACGAGAAAAAGGGGTCGAAAAAGAAAGTCGTCCAGAGGGTCAGTGCAGGAGGCGACCCGTTACTGCAGCCCGGCACCACCGGACCTTCACTTATATCGTCTCTCGGCTAATAACGCTAGTAATGTGATATGATTAGCTTAGTTGAGTTCAGTTTAGTTCGTATTCGTTCAATTTAGTGGTTCGCCAGCAAAATCACATCGAGTTAAACCCATTTAGGCCAGTTAAGTTACCGACTTCTCGCTCTTGCACTCGCCGTCATCCTCCCGGCCTGGCCGCCTCCTGTATCCGCAGATATCCTGCGGATTCGAACCGTCTTCACCCGCATCTATCCATCTCCAATTTGCTTCAACTTCAACATTCTCTGCCCGGCCGGCTGTGTCTCGGAAACTAGACGTCAAGACTAGACGGATTGGTCCAAGATCAGAGATGCGGGTGATGGTTGAGTGACTTGAGTCGCGTTGTGATTCATAAAGAAGGTACATATAGAGATCTATGTAAGAACAATGATTCTACTTAGGCCCTTTTTTAGGTATAATTATCTTGGAGATGAGGAAAGCTTCGAAACAGATGTAGTCGATGAAAGAAAGATGCCTAGAATAAGAAGACTTTCGTGAAAGTTCAACTGTAAGTCTCTCTTTTATAGAACTAAAGGTTACTTCTATCTTTCCAATAAACCAATACATCAAATTGAACTCTTTCGTTAAATCTCTCTTCTTCGCGCAGACCTTGATCCTTCAAGGGTTAATCCTCTTTGAATCTGAAGTCGTTAACAAGAGATCCCAGCCTGTAAACAAATCAATTAATGAGCTTGGAATGGAAGGAGGAATAGTAAGGCCGCGGTAACGCTGGTGGAACCACGACGATTGGTTTCATCAGGAGAACGGAAAACGTGTTCTGTGTAGAGGGGGAGGAAGTAAAGAGTCCGCGAGAGTGCAATTAAATCAGCGCGTGAGAGGCGGGCGCGCGCGCGCTAATTACCGCCGATGAAATTAGCAGTTAATATACGCGTGTACACACGGAATGGGGGTAGTTTGATTGGGCCAATTCGAGGCAATTCCTGGCGATTGCTGGTTTCATTGAGCCTGCGCTTAAGAGCCTCAGTGCCACGCTGCCGGTCAACGGACATGGATCTCTTGGAAAGTATAGGTACTCTTACCTTTCTCGTACTTCCTATCGATCATCGTCCGTCGATCGTCCGCGGTTACCATCGATTTATCGACCTGTTCTCTTGGGACACCGGTTGAAATTCACACGAGGATCCAAACGTTGAATTCCACCTAATCTTATGGTGGAATTGTACGGAAACGCGAATCCATGATAGAAGCATGATTCCATCATGGAAGAAATGGTACTGTGAACGCGCGTCGATCATCGCCGAGCGCCGCATACTGATCTCTTGATCGAGGTTCAAGGTTTCGGTTCAAGGACTTCTGTAAACGTTCCCGGAGCAACGCTGGGACAACGCGTAACGCTTTGTAAAGTTGAAGTTTTGGTGGACTTTGAGTGGTGTGCAAGAAGATGGAACGAGGATTCGCTGAGATCAAGTAGAATAGAGTGAGTGTAAATTCTAAGTAATCTTGCTGATATCATTTTTGTTATCTTGAAGAGAATCGAGTCGAGCTACTGACTTTGGGAAATAATTATTGCGTATACACAGTGACATAATGCGATTGCAGCTTCTTACGCAAAGAAACTTCATCAATGATTAGAGCTTAACGTGTACCGTGGACTAAATACTTATCTACTTCTCATTCGACTAATTATGCTATAAGAATTATCTACAAGTGGTTAAAAATAGAAGAAGCTAAATTAACACGTGAACCAATGTACCAGAGTCCTTGGTCCATAGCGATGAAAGGGTCAACTGGAAGCACGAACCGATTCACAATTTTCCCATAACGATTCGACGATGCTGTGATCGTGAACGAAGCGGCCCGTTCTGATTCCCACATGCCCCACCACGAGTACAGGTCAGCTACGATTGTCGTCAACCATGCCCGAGCGTTCTCCAAACGAAGCGACCGAGGGGGCGGTCGCAATGGTGGTAGAACAACATCCCAGTCGGGGACGGATGAAGGGAGACCGGTAGAAGTAGCATGCTGGAGAGACCCATGGAGAACAGAGTGGGAAGTGAAAAAAAAAGAAAAAAAAAAGAGAGACAGAGGGGTAGGAAAGAGGGGACGAAGAGAGATATAGGGCTGATACGTTGGATCCGAAACGAGAGTAAAAGAGAAAGAAAGAGGAAGAAAAACGCACAGGAGGCAGTGGCAGTGGTACCGCGCCCGCATAAAACGGCCGTCCTCTCGTGAAGCACGTAGAGGCTAGTAGGTGCTACAGGATTGGTTGGCTTCCATGTGTGGGGGCGGCCTGGCCGGCAACCCGTTGAAAATATAAGCCTGTGTGAGTGTCGGTTGATTAGCCAGAGTCAGAAGAGATCGTCGGTAGCGCGACAGTGTCCAGATAGGCTGCTCCTCTTAACTCGTCCAACTCCAACAACAGCCGATCATCGTTCGGATAGAAAGCGTATCCCGATTTAGAGAGAAAGCCCGGTCCGATTCGTCTTTCCGATCCGATTCGAGTCTCCTGTACCGTCTCTATCCGTCCACGACACCGGGACCGGCCGGTTCACTTCGTTAGCTCCGCTTCAAACTAATCAAAATTAATCATAACCCGGGCAACAATTGATCGCAATTGGTCCGGATTCCATTACGGAGGACGCGCTAACGCAATCACCCGTGCCACCGTGGAAGCGAACGCTTTTTTACATAATTGACCACCAACCGATAAGAGGTGATTTTAATCGACTTCATCCGAGGAGAGACTTCCTTCGTCGAGGAATCAACCGGTCCGAGGAGGAGCGAACGGACTCAGCCGGCTGAAACTTGTTGCGCTCACGACGACCGCGAATCACCGCTTCTCTGATCAGGATTAATTGGGATTAATCGCAGGCGTCAACAGGTGACCCGTTCGCTTCTAACGCATCGAGATTGCTGATAGAAACGAGTCGAAAAGGAATGTGAATGTTCAACGTTCTCTCCTAATTAATTGGATACCATTGGAAGATTGAAGATAGAGACTGTGACCTATTAAGTTTCATCGGAGGTGAACAATTGTTGCTCTTGTAGCCACGTGTGCCTTTTTAGGACACAGTTCTTCGTCGCCATCGTCAAGAAGAATCAGTGGAGTGCATACTTCTTTTAACGGCTAGGATATCCAAACCGCAAGTGTCCATCGTCAGAAAGGAAGGCATCGATTTGAAGATGGACGGAGGTCCTTTCGACGATCCAATCTTCTCAGACTTTGGCGGTCGAGGAGGTTCGGGAGTGCACAGTATTCAAGTGATGCTCGGCTTACACGGTGGACATCACGGTGGCGATTTAATGCCAACCGGGGGACACCTGCACAAATTGGATTCTTCCAACAGTCCTCCACCTCATCATCAGACGTCCCATCATCATCTACAGCAACAACAGCAGCAGCAGCAGCAACAGCAGCAGCAGCAGCAGCAGCAACAAAAAGAGTTAAAGGAACTTGAACTAGCTGGAATGTACGCACCGCTTGCTCAAACTCAGGATGTAACCACCTCGACGTCGAGCGCCGCAACGCCAACCTCGACAACCCTCCAACAGGGCTTACAGCTTGGAAATTCTCTGAAAAGAAAGCCGGAAGATCCGATGAACACCCTTGCCCCAGGTATGTAATAATACTTGAATAAGTGTGAAATTTTGATTAAAAGATAATAATTGTAATTTACATTACAGTCAGTAGCGAGACCCAGCCTGCTAAGAAGGACTCTAAAAAGAAGACTGATAACAATGGAATCAAGAAAAAGAAAACTAGGTAGTTATCCTCTCCGTTGTGTTTAACGATTAGTTTTCTAAATTCTAATAAATTTTAGAACCACGTTTACCGCATATCAGTTGGAAGAGTTAGAGAGGGCATTCGAACGTGCACCGTATCCTGACGTGTTTGCACGCGAAGAACTCGCTCTGAAGCTAGCACTGTCGGAATCCAGGGTTCAAGTTTGGTTCCAGAATCGACGCGCAAAATGGCGAAAGAGGGAACCTCCCCGCAAAACTGCCGGCTACATGGCTGCTGGTTCAGCGAGTCCTGGTTTGTCAGGTTAACATCTAAAATTATTCTTTTCCTATTAAACTCGGTTCGTAAGTCCGTATATGGAAGAATGACATTTTTCTTAATTTCATCAGGTTCGTTCACCTCGCTGAACAACACCCTGAACCCGTTCGCTTCTCCAACAACGGCGACCGCACCCCCCGATGCATGGGCGTATTCACCAGCCTATGACCTGGCACCGCATCTCAATCTCCTAAGTTCCTCCAATTCTCCTTATTCCACCTCGTTTGGTGGACCGAGTAACAATGGATCGGCGTACACATACGGGACGATGCTACCGCAGCACGATGCCTCGTTGTTCTCCACACCCTCGGGAAACACGATGCGCGTCCATCAGGATTACATGAATGCTAGCAACAGTCCACCACCGCCTTTGACTCGCAACGATTACCAAACGATGGTCACCACTCATTCACCGCCAACTCATCTGGCCAACTCCATGTCCGAGGAGGAACATCAACAGAATAAGCAACTGGACTATGTCAGTGGGCTCAGTCCAGCAGATAAGTATCAACACGAACAGCCAGATTACACGCAACAGCAGCAACAACAGCAACAACAGCAACAGGATCAGAAACAAGAATACGGGATGCACTCGCCGCAAGGACGTCAGGGGATGAAGGAACAAGTGATGGTGAAGAGTGAACCCACCAGCCAACAGAATTACGTACAGTTGCCTCCTTTTCTGAACTGACTCGAAACCTCCGTTCTAAACTTGTTCTAAAAGAAGACGGTTGCTTCCGTTTATCTTCTTCCTTTCACATTTGATATTGTTTAATGGAAAAGCTTTTTTTCCTTGGTTGAATAAGAGAGACTTTGCTCTTTGTATCTGTTGGAAAAAGGTAAGGGTAAAAAAGGAAATATATGAATGCAGTTTATAATTGCAGTAAACAATGTGTATAGGAAAAGAGAAAAATACCCTTTGAATACAAAATGATTATATTAAAGAAACTTTGGGTACGTATTTTAGTTTCAAATGCGAATTTAATTGTATATAAAATGCCCCGCGATAAAACTACTTTATGTAATTCTATTATGTATGATTGTTTTTTGAAATACCTATTTCTGAATTTATAGATCTTATAAACTTTATCACCTTATAAATAATTTTCTAAAAGACATTATAGTAATGCGGCGATGAATTGTAGATATTCTTCCTGAATGTTAAAAAAAATAAACCGCGTTTCTTTATTTTTATACTAAACATATAAGTAAAAAAACATACCAAATACTTTAAGAATAAATGAAGAAGCCATTGTAAGATATTTATGGAAGCATTCCAGTGCCTTAAAAATGTAGTTTAATCCAATGTATGTATTCTTATGAACGAATGTAAGTATTTTTGTATCGTTTTCTCTTTTGTTCATACTTATTTGAATAAAAAGCGTAAATGATATTAAATAAAATTGAACACCGTTGTGTTTCATACTCTTATACATATTCTACGACGATAGTGTTGTATACGAAAAAATATAAAATTAGAATATTATCGAATCACAAATAACACTGATATTCTCTTGACTTTCTCTTCTTTGTGTGACATTTGTAATTACTTGTGTCTAAATACACCTGAAACAATTATTGTCAGAAGTCAATTTTTTTTAGGGGGGTTTAAACAAAATTATACAAAATTTTATAAAAAGTTTTATTCCAAACAACAAAATATGTAATCTGTCTAAACATTTTATTCTATTGTAGGAGATACTCGAGCCACGCTATTCCGTTTAAATCGTGGAGTGCTTTATTATTAGTGGCTAGATTCTCAATGAAAATTTCGTATTCGTCTTTTTCTAAATTTTCGAAAACTGATACTTGAGTATCGATTCCTTGCCAGACCGCATCTCCGTTAAAATGATATTTCTTTTCTATAATGTACAAACATAACGCTAAGCGTTGACTAGAAGTAAAATGGTATCCTTTTTCTAGAGTAAATTCTTCGTTAATTATATTCGTTGCCTCGCTAATTCTAGACCTACGTTAAGAGAAAACATTTATTAGAAATCATGTTTTAAAATAATGTAAATTTGTAACGTAAACATGCTCTTACTCCGGATAAAGCACAATATGGATATTTTTGCATATATCTTCTAGCGAATAATGCGTTTTCAAATATTCTATTGTTTTTACTATGACCAATAATGACACATTTTTCCAATGTTTGTGCTTTGCAACGCGATTTATTAACGATGCTTTATCTTTTCCTAATTCTTTACACAATATATACAACAAGAACTTCCTATTAGCCATATGACATAGATCACCTCGTACGTATCTAGAAAAAACATGTTCACGTGAAACAATGAATCTTAACTGTACGTTATACATAGGACTAAAATTATTACCTCATGAAAAATTGTCCATGAGACAAGAATGTATGAACGTTTGCTGTACTCATACGATTACAAAGTTTAAGATATTCTATTCTAGTTATAGCCTTATTGTAAAAATAAATCAAGTTCAACATACGCGGATGCTTTGACCATATACTTAATTCATAATTATTTAGTATATTTATGTACCTGTCCAAAAATACTCCCTTCTCCAATCTTAAAGTACATATGTAAGAAATGATCGACTGAACTGGTATATCCAATTTTTTACAAAAAATTAATAATTCTTTCACCTTGGCTGTAGGATAACACAAGATACGAGGATGTTCCCTAGCTATTTCAATTATGCTTTTGTTATTTACAATATTCGTATCTTTAAACTCAGTTAAAAACTGTTCAATATTATTTTTATCCTGGCTGAGCAAATAGGGATACGTACTTAACTACAACACATTATCTCATATTATTTCATATTCTGCTTCCTATAGGATACTTTCTTTTCTAAAAGTAATAAATAATTATACTTACAAACTTGTGATCAAAATGATATTTAGTCTGAAATATGTTTAATAATTCTCCAAGTTCTTGAAAGCTTTGATACTTCTGCCTTTTATTTTCATAAAATGCTTTATTATATAATTGAAGATAAAATGTTTTATAATATGCCATACATAATGCATAAAAGTTACTTGTTTTCATACTGTGGTCAAATTTATTTAAGCTGCTTTCATCAATTGTTAAACCTATATTATTAATTATATTTTGCATAATATTTTCTTTGGGTGAAATACTGTGAATTTTTTTAAATTGTTTCACTGATCTGCGCATTGATGATGGAAACCTGAAATGCAAAATACAATATAAAGTAGTATATAATGTTAATGTTCTTTCTATATAATGTTAAAAGACATACCTGTGAATGTGATGTAAACCAAGATCTTTTACCCCCATCTCTTTAAGCAATAAAATCCTACTTTTTACAATTGTAGGATGAAGTACTAAACAACTTCCTAAATATTGAATCTCAGTTAAATTCACATCTAATTCCTATTAAACATAAAAAACAATCTTATCAGTAATTAACAGATTACATGACCTTTAATAATACTTACTTTTATTGTCATGCAGTTTTGAATAAGTTTTTCTTTTGGTATCTTAGAAATATTATTTTTATTAGATTGATTTATCCTTTTTATAGCATCACGGTCAATATTTAAATGTGTAATTAACACATTGTCATCATTTGCTTGAGTTGATAAGAATGAAAACTGATTTCCAAGACACGTTTGAATAAATTTCCTTGGAGATAACAATTTAAACATCTTTTCTCATGTTCAATTGATTAAAATAACCAAAAAAATACTGAATTTAAGGTTATAATTTATAACCTACAAAAGCTTGGTATACCTTATTAATAATCTACTTAAATTATTTCACGTAATTGTATAAAAGACAATAAAATATTTTTCTTATATACATTTTTAATTGCAGTTACCATGCTATATATATAAATACATTCATTGTAACGACAAGTACTAGCAAGCAGCGACACCGTTGTCAACTGTTGTCAACTGTTCGACCTACAACGAGGTGAGGGTGAGACACCTGGAGACACCCTCAGTTCACCTCACCTCACAGTGTTATAGCGACCGCCGAGGGGTGCAGATGTATCTATTAAACATACATGTACCCTTATTTTAATTTTCTGCGTTCATTTAATTTGCTGTACTTATCTTTCTAACATTGAGGGCCTCATATATCCCTGCATCCCTTACAATAAGATTGGATCTTGGACCATAAAGAAGAATAAAATAATAATTGAAAAGGGTAAAATGATAAATAACTGGCAAAAATGAAATGAAAGGGACGATCGTAAATGTGGGTAAAACCTTCTCTTATTTTTCAATAGATGTATGCTGTTAAAAACAAAAGCAATTTCTATCATGAACTTTTCTCCTACCTGCCAAACTGGATGACATTTAGGTTTACCAATAGTAAAAATTTTTTGTGATTAATGAATTATAAAATTATTTAGTATCTGATATGTAACGACTTTAATTAAATGTACCATAATGGATTATTAATTCGGATACCATGAAAACTTGACAAATTATTTGTAAAATACCAACGAAAATAAGGTTCATCAACAAAAGGAAATTAATTGTTTAACAGGTTATTACGTATTAATAAATACAGAAAGCTGAAATAAACAAGTCTGTTTTATTGATTTCAATATTATATTGATGAAGGATATTTTGATGTTATTTTAATAAAGGAAAGATGAGTCGAAATCCATGCGCAGTCGGTCTTACAAAGACCGAGCTGCTTCGTCAAGCAAAAACTGCCGCGGCATTGAAAGACTATGATAAAAAACGTGAAGAAACAGCACGCCATCAAGCAGATCCATTCAGTAGAAGACGTAGAGTAGTAAGGCCTGAACCAAAAAAGGTGGATTTCAGAAAACCAGGAATGACTAAAGCAATGATGGCAAGAGTAAAACAAGCAGAGAAATTTAAACAAGAATATGAGCGCAAACAAGAAACGATAGCTGCTGCTCGAAAACCTAAGCGAACGCCCGCACCGATAGGAGGTGATGCCAGGTCGCGACGACAGTTAAATTTGATTGAAATCAATGATTTAATTCTTGTTTAATAAATACTTCTAATTTTTATTATGTTTTTAAAAAATAAATTGACTAATTCAATAGTCTCTCCAGTATGAAATTTCTATTACCATACAGAAATGATTTTTAATTAGGATGGGTAGAGAAAGAGTAACAGATAGAGAAAGAAGACGTAGCCCGTGTGGATCTAGACCTACAACTCCTAGAGCTACATCCCCAGCTAGAAGAGAATTTGAACCTGGACCTGGACCTAGCCGCTTACCCACTTTTAAAAGACAGCCTCCTTTTTTAAGACCTGGAAGTAGTGAACCAACTGTAACTAGAAAAACTAATGAATTAGCTAGAATGATGAATGCTGATATAGTTCAGGCTGATCCAATTGGTGAAGGACCAATCAATAACATTGTGATACCTCCTGGAATTGTAAGTGATAATCGTACCACCATTATCAGCATACAACAACCAAGCGCAGATATTGAAGCAAACTCACAATTAGCGAATCGCTCGATTCAAGTGATAAGGTGATTTTATGAAGCTCTTCTTTGTTTCCAATGATAACGCAAAGCTTTTCAATTTTAATAGCGATACTCTTGACGAACAAGATGCTGTAGAAACTTCGGCGGTACAAGGTAGATTAACGGAATTGCAGCAAGCTAGGAGAGATTTTGTTATGGCTGTGGCAAATGTTGGTGCTAATGCTGTTAATATCGAAGAAGAAAGTCCTCCTCCTTCCCTCCTTTCACCTGGTATCTCTGAAACTCCCCAGAGACACTTACTGAAGTGAACATTTAAATATTTTTAAATTGTAATTAGATAAAATTTGGATATTTGTTACATCGAGTACTATCGGTATAGGGTACCTGATTTAGAGGATGAATTTCTTCAGCCTGAATATACTAGAGAACATCCAGATGTTGTAGCTGCGCGTGAATTCATGGAACAAAGAGATGCAGCTAGAAGAATAGAGGATGAATTTGAGAGAATAGCAGCTCAAGAACAAATGGCTGATGATTTACAATTAGATGTTCCTTTCGAGGAAGAACTTTACCAAGAAAGAGATATATCTTGGGAAGAGGATGAAAGTGGAATGGCTATTCCTCGTCCATCTAGAGTGAAAGCTTATATACCTTCTGTCCCTACACAAGCAAGACCATATCAGTACGAGCCATTTAATCCAGAAAATTTAGAAAGATTCTTTGATCTTCAACGTCACCCACCGTGTCCTCAATATGGACCACCAGTTGGTAGAGAGCAATTAAATCCAGATTTATGGGAATTGGAAGATCCATGGTATAGACCCCCTCCAGAGCCTGAAGGACCAGATCTAATGGAATTTGATCTAATGGATTTTGATTAATTAAACATTCATCTTCCCTGTCTTATGTCATTGTAATTTACCATGCACCTTAAAGAAAAGAATAATTTATTGTAACTTCATGTAATGTATAACTGCTACACACATGTAAATAATAATAGTATTAATAGTGATCAGATGATGCTTTAAAATTAACAAAATTAACATAAAAGTACTGTCAATAAATAATTGTGCAAAATATCCCTGCATTCTTTTCATCCCTACATTCTTTCCATCCTTACATTCTTTTCATCCCTACATTCTCTTCGGTCCTACATCATAAATGTTATTCCCCTTCGATGAGCTGATTTAATAAGCAAAAAAATAAATGAAGTAAATTAAATAAACTCTGGGAAAAAATTATACTGGTTGTGCCCTTTTTATACGGGCCTGATATTATCCATGGGGTGTTAGGGACCCCGCTGCGGCAATGATGCCCTTTACGTACCGACCTGAAATCATATTGGGGTATTAAGGACCCCGAAACGCCAATGACTATCTTTGTAAACCAATAATTTAGCATCCGGGGTGCCAGGGACCCCAAAGCACCAGTGACTATCTCTGCGTACCTACATATCATATTGGGGTGTCAAGGACCCCGAAGCACCGATGACGCTCATTACCTACCGACACTGCGGCATTCGGGGTATCTGAGACCCCAAGGTACCGGTGATGCTGCATACCGACATTATGCCACCGGGGTGTCAAGGACCCCGAAGCAAGTAGCGAAATATAAGAACGAAAAACAAACAAATCGTGAAACTCACTTGTTCGGGGTAGTGATGGGTTTGACCGGATCTAGCGAAATATAAGAACGAAAAACAAACAAATCGTGAAACTCACTTGTTCGGAGTAGTGATGGGTTTGACCGGATCTAGCGAAATATAAGAACGAAAAACGAACAAATCGTGAAACTCACTTGTTCGGGGTAGTGATGGGTTTGACCGGATCTAGCGAAATATAAGAACGAAAAACGAACAAATCGTGAAACTCACTTGTTCGGGATAATGATGGGTACGACCTGATTCGATCCTGGGGTGTCTGGGACCCCGATGCACCGTCGACTCTCCCTGTATACTGACATTATGGCATCGGGGTGTCTAGGACCCCGAAGCACCGTCGGCTCTCCCTGTATACTGACGTTATTGCATCGGGGTGTCTGGGACCCCGAAGCACCGTCGACTCTCCCTGTATACTGACATATGGCATCGGGGTGTCTGGGACCCCGAAGCACCAGTAACACTATTTGCATACACCTACATGAAGCTAGCCGGAAGGTATAATAAATTATGAGAAGTCGGTAAGTCGGTAAGTTATGACGGTAAGTTGTTGAGTAGTTTCCACCGCTCTTGTATAGATGGCGCCACGGTCGAATTAAAAAATTTTTATTTATGGCAATCATTTTGAAATAATTATGATAATTTTTCAGTGAAATGCGAGAGATAGTTTGTCGTCGGTGAATAGCCTCTTTGTACCTGTAGTCAGTGAAGAATGTATGCATGCCATTTTGCAGGGAATTATCGAGCGCTAACTGTACTTATATTGGAACGCTTACGCCACCATGCGAAAACTACATTTTCTCGTGCCGAAGATTGCATATCTTATATATGTATAAGAACAGTGACTACAAATGTAGAAGACTGGATATGCCTTTGTTTTTGAGGCGGCATAATTTAGGGGGTCTCAGACTAATCTCTGTAGTCATTGATAAGAATTAAAAAAAGTATGGTTGAAATAGTTATATAGGTGTGTATTTTACGTTATGTGTAGCAACATGACTTAAGAATTCTAATTGTGTCTAATATGTTTGTTGAGATTGTGTGTGACATTTTACTTATGTTATGTATGGTTTCCTTATTTGGAAAGCGTAGTTTGTAACAAACACTTATAATGGGCATATCTTAAAATTAAACTAATTGTAATTTATAATACATTATTTATCGTTTTTACATAGTACATACTATAAATATAATGGCGACACCCACTAATGGAAATGGTAATCTTGTTGATGAATTTGAGGAAGCATTTCAGGTATGATATAAGCAATAACGATTATGTACATGATATTTTACTTGTTAAGAATTTAGTATTTTAACATAAAATATTTTTATGTAATGCTTTTAGCAATGTTTAAGTATACTAATAACAAAAGACGAGGGGTTAGGAAACAATGGGATTGGGGTAACTGGTGGTTTGATTGTGGATAAAGAAGCTCGTAGTGAAGTTGAACAAGTTACGCTAAGATTTATAGATCTGGCAAGACAGATGGAAGCTTTCTTTCTGCAAAAACGATTTTTATTGTCAGCATTGAAACCAGAACTAGTAGTGAAAGAAGATATCAGTGATCTTAGAGTAGAATTAACACGTAAAGAAGATCTTATCAAAAGACATTACGATAAAATTACAGTATGGCAGAATTTATTAGCTGATTTGCAAGGTTGGGCAAAATCTCCTGCTCAAGGTCCAGCACCTAATGGTACGAATAATAATTAAAAAATGATGTTAAATAAAAATATATTTATTAATTAAATGATATTTTAGGTTTACCAAATGGTACCCAGAGTGGACAAAATCAACAAACCACAAATGGAGGGGGAAATCCAACAATGCAACAACAACAGCAAATATTGCAGCATCAACAGCAGCTCCAACAACAACAGCAGTTGCAACATCAAATGCAACACCAAATGCAACAGCAACAACTTCATCAGCAACAGGTATTTAAGTAATACCGTTACGAGCAAAGCTGAAACTGTATTCAGGCAGCTATTTAAGATAAAAAGAACTTTTCAAAATGATGCATACATTTTATAAATGTGTAACAATGAAAATTTGCAGCGTACATTTGCAGAAAGTTTGTTTTATAACGGTGGTTAAAGTTAGATATTAATGTTGGCTCAGCATTTTTAATATTTATCCCATTTCAGTTGTAAATCTAAATGTAAATTATTGAATTTCTATATACAAAATATCATTGCACTATACAATTATACATATATCACAAGATTATTTATAATCATTGTAATGTTCTCATTTTTATGGAAATGATATATTTATTATTATTAGGTTTCCATATTATTTGTCACATCTAAAACTGAATGAATACCGTAATTGAATGGTTGTATGTGTCTGTGTGAGTGCATCGGAGCATGAATGTGCATAATGTACATATATAAATTGAATTGTTAAGTAATTTTTTGTGATTGAAATACCTATCAGAATTGTAGAAACTATTTTTGCTCCTATTCTTAAAATAATAGTTATTCGGAATATAAAATTATTTGGTCTTACTGCACAAAGAGCAACGTACATATATTAGTGTTGCGTGTAATCAGTGCCTTATATACTTCCTATTGATAAAAAGTGTAAACATACAAAAATGAAAAAAATTGAAATTCTTTTACTAGTAATTGCGATATAGGGTTCTATAACCGTAAATGCATGAACTTCATTTATAAAAAGTAAAAAAGTATTAAAAAGATATACTTGCATAAACATGTAAAATGGTGCCAAAATGACTAATATTAAAGTATGTACAAATATTTAGCCAAAAACTGATATAATAAATCCGATAACGGCAATAATAAAAGAAAGATAGCATACATTTATGTTTGCTTAAGATTAATGGTAAACCTAATGATCCCTACAACCTATAAATAATAATTAGAATCGGATAGTAATATTTCATAATTAAAATATATACCTGCAAATGTATACACATCTTAATTTTTCTTTCATTTTTTTTTCCACAATAGATTTCTTTATGTCACATATCATAAATTGTCAGAGTTGAAAACATTTCTCAATATTTATAAGCCTTCTTGTTTACAACACGATAAATATCTTTTGCATGTAAACATATATGCATGCATTTTGCATCAATGTAAAAATGATTAAGAAAGAGAACCCTTATATTCAAAAGATCATATAGAAATCATATTCATGATAAACTATAGAAATAACATGTCAAATTTATTTTAATTGCCACTGCCTCCTCCATACCATATAAATTGACATGTATTCTTTTTACATAAATTGAAACATTGCAGCCATTCGTAGAAACGAATAACTGCAACAAAAAATGTGCCGTTTCAACTACATTGTTTTTATTCATATTACTGCACTTGCACTTACATGCAAGTGGATATTTACAGAATAAATTTCTATTCATGGTAAAAAAAAAAAAAACATTGTGCTTTCTTTCATTTCCCTTGCCTATCTAATTACTGTCCCTAATATCCTACATGCTTGTAATAATGAAAATTCTATTTTTGATTTTATACATTTATATGTATCTGAATATGTTGCATGTATGTACAGTATGTATAAAGTTTTCACAACTCAATCATTTTTTTCTAAATGTTTCATTTTCATTCAGCATCATTTTTTATAATCAAATAGAATACAGAATATTATATTATATTATATTGAAGAAAATCATTATGACTGAATATTTGGCATAACGTTGCAGGTGCAGCAAGGATCGGGTGCTCCTCCTACATCAGGTCTTCAAGGAGTTGGAGTATCTGTTGGACAGCAAGGAATGTTCATGGCACAAGGTGTAACTGGCGCAAGAGCTGGATTCCCCGTTGGAGGTGTTGGAAGCAGTGCTCTTCAGGGTCCGCTTGCTTTTTTGGAAAAGACCACGAGCAATATAGGAATGCCTGAAAGGCGGAGTTGACGCGGAAGGGGGAGGGGCCGAGGTCGGGGTCGAGGAAAAGGCCGAGGAAGAGGACGAGGCGGAGGAGGAAGTTTACCTCCGCCACCACCACTTCTCGATACTTCGGACCCGTCGTCGTATGCTGCTGCTGCCGCAGTTGCAGCTGCTGCGGCAGCGCCCCTTCCCTCTCCACAGCAGCAGCCTCCACCGTCTTGTACATGAATATTATATTTACTAAAATTCGTTTCTTATTCTACGACATCATTCTTATGTCGAAAACATAGCTAACAGATATCCAAATATTTCATTCATTTAACGTTAAAATGATTTTATTGTATAGGCTTATAAAGACTGGTGCAAAACATACGTTACGTATTTGAAAAATCAAGAATTATTGATTGAAAGTTAATAATTAAAGAACGCCAAGTTTTATTTAATTATTTTAGTATAAATAATGAACATATAGCACTAATTTTTTGTTCGCAATTTATGAACTGTAATTTATTGCAAGAATTCAGAAAATTGTGTAAACTCCTGTAAAATGGAATAATCGGTACGTTCTTTTTAACTATTCAAGAAGGTGGCAGCGAAAACTGTACATAACTGTGTGGTAAAACTACTAACATAAACTTCACATGTACATAGAATTAGAGGCACCGTTTTTTCATACAATAAATCATGTTGTATTTTATTATATTAAGTTCGAATAGTTGTTAGCACTTTTACAAGTAACGTGTAACATTTTACACAGTGTCGATCGAAGCTGTATTTCAGACACAACACAAATAAAGTATAAATTGCCCAATTAATAATGGTACACCTCCCATTCTATTATATTAAATTATTTCTTTAAATAAAAGTTTAAAACATTATATTTTGTTTTGTATGATGTTATGCGTTGAAATTATTTTCAATTGTTGTTGCATGCCTCTTTGTTACAATCTATGGCTATCAATGGTTTTGATCAAATTTATCATTATAATATGAACAATAAAGCGAACTGTACAAGTAAAAATTTATTACATTTATACTAAGTATTGCTGTATTATGAAGTAACTGAATTCTATACACAAATATAATGTTTATAAATTGTATGTTTCATTCCGACCAATTTAATTCGTTGTATATTTTAACTTTTTCTCTCTCGAATCTGCGTCGGAATGTAACAGAAAAAAGATGGGCGGTGTGTAAAATAAAATGTGTATTGTATGTATGTATACAGGGTGATCCTCTCGTAGCCGGACACAAAGGAACACTGGCAACAATGAACCCCTTCACCGCATCATAAAGAGGTCCGAGACTACTGTGTTTCTTCATGGTGCGGTCAACGGGTTCATTGTCGCTAATTCCTTTATGTCCGGCTGCGAGAGGATCACCCTGTATATATAACAATGTTATATATACATATAAATGCGTGTATTATACATATGCATACATATATATATAAAAATAGATAAACTTGCACCATACAACTTAAAATAGTTGTCAATTTTAACACATTGCTTGTAGAAACTGAATAAGCGTACGAGTCGGACGACCTGTCATTCCAGCTGGTACATATGGTAACTTATCAGGTCCAGGACCCATTACTCCTGCAATGTCTAAATGCATCCAGGGTGTATCGGGCGAAACAAATTCTCTTAAGAAAGCAGCCGCAGTGCAAGAACCTCCACCTTTGGTTTTAGCGGCATTCCTTACATCCGCTGACTTAACTTTTTCTATAGAATAATACCAAGTAATTTATACGTTACTACGCCTTCTTAATTACTATTACCGTGGACCAATATTAACAAGTATTTCACTTACTTGTCATTTCATCGGTAAAATGCTGCCAAAGTGGAAATCTCCATACTCGATCACCAGTAATGGTGCCAGCATTTCGTAGTTTCTCATAGAGAGTACCATCATTCGTGAATACACCAGTTGCTGCTCCTCCCAAAGCAATTCTCATTGCACCGGTTAATGTCGCGATGTCCAAAATGAATCTGTACGTATTAAAATATTTAGTATGTATTTATAATGAGCGTTCATTGTTAAATCTATATCTATATAAGTAGTAATATTACTTTGGATTAAATTCTTGAGCATAGCAAAGAGCATCGGCCAGGATCAGTCTACCTTCCGCATCAGTGTTATCTACAATGATACTCTTTCCGTTCATCGCAATTACAACATCTCCTGGTTTAGTTGCAGTTCCAGAGGGTAAATTCTCGGTAAGCGGTATCAAACCGATGATGTTTACTTTCAATTTAAGTTCAGCCGCAGCTCGAATAGCAGCAGCTACACATGCTGCACCAGTCATGTCGGCACGCATTTCGTCCATGTCAGATGGAGGCTGAAATTAATGTTGATGTAAGCTTTTCATTCAATATTTTAATATACAGTAATACCTTACCTTAAGACTAATACCACCAGCATCGAATGTAACACCTTTTCCGACAAAGGCAATCGGTTGAGAATTATCATTAGCACCTTTATAATGAATTTCAACAAACTTTGGTGGCTCGCAACTACCGCGAGATACGCTAAGGAAAGAACCCATCTGTTTCTGTTCTGCCCATTCTTGATCGTGTACTTGTACTGTAATTCCTAATTTAGTAAGAACCGAGCACACTTCTTTAGAAAATATGGTAGGTGTCATTAGATTAGCCGGGGTATCCGCAAGTTGACGTGCCCAATTTTGAGCCTGAGCTTTGATACTTCCAATCAACCATTGTTCTCTTAATAAAAACAATATTAATTTCAGTTATATTTATACTTAAGTTATATAAGAAAGCAGCTAAATGTAATATCCTACTTACTCCCCTTCTTGACCATACAAAGAAACTTTTGGATATACTTTCTGTTTTTCTTTATTTTTTGAACCTTGGTAAAACCAAGTTGATAGTGCAGCTCCTTCTGCCGCAGCTTCTGCATCTCCCAATGTTTCCAATTGTATATCTTTTATTTCAACTGCGTCCAATGCACGGCAACCAGCTAAAAAAAAACGTTATATTATTATTAAAATATGAACGCAAGATTTTATTTTAACGTAAGTATATTTACCTGCTGCTGCAATACGTATGCTTTCTTTCCCTTCGTGTATTTCCTCAAGTTGATCAATGCCAAGATTTTGTTTTCCTAGACCAACAACCGCTACTCCAACGTAATCCTTCTCGTCCAATCCCCAAAACACTCTAGCATGACCTTTGGGAATTTTTGGACCTGCTCTGTAGTGGTACAAGTATTGAAATATTATTTTAAATCATCTGTACATTAAAATGGTATATATAATAATTTTAAGGTAAGGGACAAGTTAATACGAAATTAGAAATTTTGTTTGAGGATGTACTGACAGACACAAATTCACAAATTTATTTATTACAATAAAGTTTAGGCGTCTTGGACATGTATAGCGTGTGCTATAACATTTGCAATTTCAAAATACAATCTAAAAATATACTATCCTTTACATACATCCTAGAATATATTCTTTTAAAATTACTCTAATTATTTTTCTAACAATTGTGCTAATTCTTAATTACATTAAAATTACTTTTTATAATTAGAACTGTATTATGTTTTCTGATCTCTGGAGATAATTGATTTGCACTTGTAATACATCAATGGTAGAGTGTCACAATTATTTCAGATGTACACATTATTGACAAGAATTTACAACATTAAAGAATTAATCATAAACGTAATACAGTATAATGTAAAACTATTACCAAAATTCAGTTTCTCTGTGTATACATTGATTTAAGTATGTAGATCTGTCATGGGGTTTTTATCGTATTTATAACATTGTTAACTTAAACATTATTACATGAACAGTAAATAAAGAATTGACATACTAATATTTTAAAAAATGAACCATTTAATGCATGTTTATTTAGAATATACTAATCAGAGCTAAGTAAAATAATATTATATATATATATATATATGTATATAGAAAATAATAAATACGAAGAAGTTTGATATCTTTTCCAGTAAAATTATTGAATTATTATTTTTAATGTGAATTCATTTATAAATAGTCTAAGTACAGTTAAATTCATTTCCATTTAAAATTCTATCTTTTCTTAGCTCTGACACTAATATTTACCAAGACAGTGATTGTAACACTGATAATAGGAACTTAATGCAATTCAAGCACATTTACTACTTCTTAGCTAACATGATACTCTTGGCACAAATTGAATTTAATGAACAATATTGATATTCATCGTGATATCAACTTGTATATTACTACTATTTTTATTTCCTTTAGGCTACTTTGGCAAGATTTATTATAAGAATTATGTCTTATGTAATTAAAGTTGTATTTTAATGTTACAACTTTCTCATAAGTTGATAATTTTAAATGATTCTCTCTTTTTTACATATTAGTACACATCATAAAAATACTTTTTATATAGTAAATTGTTTAGAATAATGAAATTTTATATTTCCACAAATTTATATGTTCTAATGGCTTTAAATATAAATGAATCCATTTTAATGCTGTATAATGACAAAGAATATCACATAAAACTAAGATAAAATTTATCTAGCATGATTTTATCATAGATGAATTGTGCTAATCCATTAGTAATCTAGTCACTGTGCAAATGCATCAATTCTGGAATACAACTGCACAATTCTGAATGCTAACTGAATTGATACAAAGTCATAAAAAGGCCACATTTCGTACTAAAACTTTGTTTAGATGCAGACATGTGCCACTAATATAATAATTATGTGGGTTATTTATTATTAAACTTCAGTCTATTGTCAAATGATATCTTAATTGTGAAGTATTCAACTAAAAGTAATATAAGTAACAGTACCCAGAGATTTAACAAGAATACAATTATAAAAAATATTTGTGCTGTTTTAACGCCCGGAGTATTACTTTCTCAAATAAGTCAGTCTCTAATAATTTAGATTTTTAATGTATTATACAGTTCTTTAAATTTGGCCTACAACAAATTACTATAACATTTAGAATTAATTTTCACTTCTCGTTGTTAATCGTATCTGAGCATTTAATTGAATAAATTTCCAAATACATATATCAAATGTACTCATATTCAATTTGTGATTATCTTCAAACAAGTTCTAATATTTTAATAATTCCTTGAGAATTTGCAGCTACCACAACATTGGACATTTGTCTCCAACAAACAGCAGAGACAAATTCGTTCAGATCCTCTTCCCTTCGTTCTTGTGTCTCTAATATACTTCGAACAGCATCAAATTTATATGAGAATAGTTGTTTTGTAAGTCCTTTGTAATATATATAAAGTGCATTATTCTCTGATCCACACGCCACATAATCACCATCAGTAGCAAGACCAACAAAATTCTTTTCATTTACATGTCCAACAAACGAACGCAAACAATGCGGATTATTAATGTTCCACATTTTTAATTGGGAATCAGTACTTGCTGATACTATTTCTTCCTTGTTAATGAATTTAACATATGAAACAGCCTTGCGATGACCTTTAAATATGCACAGTGCTTCCTTCATATTACGTAAATCATAGTAATGAACACAATGATCAGCGGATCCAAATGCTAAGTGACACGAACTACGTGGATTAAATTTTACACAACACACATTAGCTTTTGCCTCCAAAGAGGCAACGGAATGATCATTGTTCAAAGACCATAGCTTAACTCTAGCATCGTCTGATCCCGACGCTATAAGTCTAGTATCTACATCGTTGAAGTCAACTGACCAACATCTTTTCTCGTGTTCTTGAAAAGCTTTGGTTCTTTGACCGGTAGCAGCATCCCATACCGTTACAGTTCCTTCGTAATCAGATGATGCTAGCATCCCTTTATGAAAGGAATTCCATGAAACACATGATATTTTCGAACTGGAAACCATTTCTACGCATGGATAATGTATATCTACCGTGTCCCTTATTACAGCACTATAATCAAACACCTTTATTCGTTTAGTAACTCCGGCTATGGCAAAGAATTCGTTATCTTTATCAAACTCTATGCTCGAAACAATGGTGGAATTATTAAAAATGTCTGATGAATAATTCAATGTTGCCAATGGACGTAACGAATTGTATCTTGAAAACTTAACAAGATTCTCTCTAAATACATCTAGTCCTGAACTTATACCATGCCATGATTCATTTTGATTCTGAGGCTTAGGTCCAAGGAGCAATTCCTTAGCACGGGAATCGAAATAACATTGAACAAAATCATCAAAATGAGCATGCATTCTCTTTCTACGTACAGCCAAAGTCGATCCAACTGTATAATCAATCTGTTTTTGATTTCCTGTAGGATTAACGAACGTATCGTTTCCAGTAGCACCTACTTTTTCATTCGGTTTTAACATATTTGAATCTATTATGTCTATAAGACCGATCATTTCTCTTCTAATAGCTGACACTTGTGCAGTATCATTTTCACTGGATTTCTTTAAGTCTTCTATCTTAGGGCATTTACTTTGAACATCCCTTAAAATATTTTCAACTTCTTCCATATCTTTTTTAATCAATGCTATCTCTTTCTGTAACTGATTCTTTTGCTCTTCCTTCTGTTGCAATAAATGTTTTAAAAACTCATGCAATAGTTTATTTTGTGCCGCACATGTTTCCGCTTCCAGTAAATGTTTCCTTTGTGTTAATACTTCTAGCATGACATTTACATCTGGTAAAGTAAGATTAGCGCTTTCGGCAGCTACAATATCTCTCAATCCATCGTAAGGTGATACAGATAAATCTGTACCACCTGCTCTGTGTCTACCATCGGTACCATAAGAACTGCCTAATTCAACAAGACCTCTAATTCTAGTTTTATGTTTCGATATTAATTCGTGTAACAAAAAATTTGGAAAAATATCCTGTTGAGTTAACGTATAGCTACATTTTGGACAACGTCCGTTAGCTTCCAATGATTTTACTATACATCGATAACAAAATGTATGACCGCAGCGTGTGATATGAGCTTCATCAATTACTTCAAAACAAATAGGACATTGATAATCATTATTTTTATCTTCGAGTGTGCCGCTAATCCTATGAAGAACATTTGTCGAATGTTGTTTACTTATTCTACTACTACATTCACCTACTCCCCCACTGCTTCCAGCAGTGCTATCATTTCCCAAATTACTATCACTGATAGCTGACATCGTTATTCAACTCAACAATCTTTCTTGAAATATATTATAATAATTTTAATATAATCTTTTGGACTTCATACTACTTGAATTTGTTATTCAAGTTCCTCATTAGTAATGTTAACTTAATTGATAATCAGTCTAAAAGAATTATTATTCTAGAAATAATGCGTTTTTAAAATTTCTTTTTTTCTTTTTTTATATAACAAAATATGTGTCAGGCAACTCCTTCTGTGCAGCGAGTTTTTGCTTCATATCATGCGTACAATACCGTCTCTCAGTCTAGTCTCTCCTGAAACAATGAAAATAATGCCAGTGAGCTCGTGTGATAGAAATTTCACTCAAATTCAAGAGTTTTGTTAACAAAAAAATACTTTATGGAAAAGTTTTGAAAACAACAAAGGAAAAGCAATTCTGAATATTATATGTAAAGCTCAGGCAGCATTATGACAATTGTTTCAGGCTGGAACTATGAACAAGATATTCAAATATTTATTTATGTTAATTCACAGAAGTTTAAAAATGAAATATACCAAAATAATAAAATTATGGTCTGCGTGTTATAATGTATGCTTATTGTGACTGTCATTTGTTGTAGGCATTGGTTTATTTTTAATTAATGAACTATTTACTTTTAAGTAAGGGAAAACAAATAGTTTCATATTAGATATATGATACTTGTACCTGAATATGGGCATACATCTATGATCTGGTTTCACATATTGTAAAAAATAAAAAAATAAAAGAGGGTTTAGTAAAAACAGATATTAACACAGATTTTACATAAATAGGTGACAAGAAAAGGCATTATTACAATATGAGATATGTTATAGGTTACTAAATCGTCTTTGAACTTACAACAAAATATTTTTTTGTAGCTTTCCTTTAACTAGTTCATCGTATTTAGCCGCTGTAGGAGTCAATGAAATGTTGCTTTCATCTTCTGTTTCATATATACCAAGCACCAATCCTTTCTGTTGAAAATTAAAATATCAAATAAATACGGCAGAAATCTTGCTAAGTATAAACGAGTCTAGCCTCGCAAAATAAATGTACCATTTTCTTTATAAAATCCTTTATGATGAGAAAAATAATACGCAAAAGAAGTTTAATGATATTCCTGATTAAAGTTCCACATAATTTATACTTTTAGATAAAGTGTTTTTCCACTTTACCTTTCTATCACTGTTTGAATACTAGAATGAAAATTTTCCATTTCAACACTTTATTTCGTAAAATAGGAACATATTGTTCTTTTAATATGAGAACAACGATATATATTATTAAATTCGGGTATAAATAACATTGTAATTACCTTCATGGTCGAAATGCTGGATAAGAAACGTAACTGCGAATTTCCGTATTGCAAACCCTTACCCCTGATAAGAGACAATGCCATAATTTGCTCAAGAGAACACTTAGGTGTGATGTATATACCTACGCTTATATATAGGTATACCTATTTGTGTGCGTCTGTATATATACATATACATGCACACATATAAATATCTATATATGTATGTATTTCCCTCAAAAGATACGATATCTATATATATAGGTATTTTGGTTAGGAATATCATAGATCCGCCACTCATATTTTGCACTGCCATCTAGCGACAATTAATACGAATTGCAAAAATTAACATTTTGCAATCAAAGATGTTCACTGCATTTTCACATTATTGTTTTATCCGTTACAAATATCTTGTTTCTTTAACACTGTGATAAATTAGTGATGTATGCCATTGATTTTAATGACGGAAAAAGTGTACTATGTGGATTTGCCATAACGAAAACATGTTCGCCTGAAACGAACAAAATTAAAATTAATTAATTTTATATATATAATAAGTAAAAGTTAATTACGTTTATTTATACATTCATATAGCTACTTAAAATATCATATCTATGTACATACAACGAAATAATATAAAATACTGGTTATTTACATTTATATTATAAGAAACATTTAATATTTTTGAATGAAATTCTTATTCCAATTACTGATTAAGAAATTCTGCCATAGGGTCATCATCACGTTTTCGTTTCATCTGAAACGCTTCAATTTCATCCATTGTTGGTCTTTTTACTTCATACATGCTATTATACGGACGTTTTCTTTCATCCAGTTGCATCAATCTTTCTGCTTCTTTCTCATTTTCTTCTTCCTTCTTTAACGCCTGTTGTAATTTATTTTCTTCTTGCATCTTGGCAGCCTTCTTCTTATTTTTCTTCCTCTCCTTTTGTTTTTGCTTTTTATTTTTCCTCTTAAGAGTCTTTGCGTTCTTTCTACTCTTTGATAGTTTTTCTTCTTCATCGGACGAACTATCACTGCTTGCCGACTTTTCATCAGACGATTCTGCTTTTTCATTATCAGACTTTTGCTCATCGTTTAAAGGCATTTTATTTTCAACAACTGCTGCTTCCAGTGCCCTTTTACCTGCTTCCCCTGTGCAGTATGAATTTTTTATAAAAGAATGACAACATTTGTATCCCCATTTGCCTGCGTGCCAATAAGATCCCCAAACGGATGTATGATTATTTGGAAATATGTCTTCCTCGTATTTTGATCTAATTACTTGTCGGTCTTGCCCCTTGATGATCTATAAATATACATTATAAAAGTTATTAAACCTTGACAAACATTGATATCATAGAAATCCGGACGTTTATATACCTTTCCATATCTTGAATATTCTACGTATTGTTCCGTTTGTGCCAACAAGAGCGAAGGTGGTGGGGCATCAAGGTGTTCTTCACCTCCATATCTGTTAATTATGCTATCACGGGCTTTGTCTTTTAATTCATCACGTTTCTTATCGTATTCCTGTTTGAGTAACTCTAATTTTGTGGGTTCAGCAAGTAAATGAACATCAACACCCCTTTCATGGGCTTCCCATGCAAATAATTGAGCATTTGCATGCTGCTGCGTATCTCCCGAAAAACGAACAAAATTTTCACCCTTGTAATCCACTCTACAATTAAACATAAATATTAAAAAGATTTTTAAAACGATAGAAAGCTTAGAAAAATTTACGCGTGATACATACTCTCTTTCAGTACCAACGTAAGGATTATCGCGCATGGATCTTGTTTTAGGATCATAGTAAGCAGAATTTGGGTCTAAGTTTCTCAAATATTTTGCTGTATCTTCTCTAATTCGTAAATTTCTAACAGTAATTCGCTGTTTAGAATCTACTTTTGTACCAGGCATATCAACTTCATCGACGTATTTATCTTCATCTTTATCCGAATCTTGCTCATCATTCTCTTCTGCATTTAATTTCTCTGCACGCATTTGTCTCTTTGCTTCTTCAATCTTTTGATATTCTTCAACAATAGCTCTATGCTGTGAAGGATCATATCCAGCCCACCTACATTAAATAAATAATTAGAAATATACTGAGCCTAATGAAACAATAAATAATTGAATATTTATGTTACCTATCACGTTTGCCATCATAGTCCATAGATAATTCGGGCTGTGTAAATTCATCAGGTGCAATGTTTACATTTGTAAATTTTGCTCCTACTTTACGAGGACGTTCCATACATTCTTTTCTTTTATGAGTCATTGCCCCGCAATTTTCACAGGCACCTTTGCGGTACTTTGTTACTGCATTAGATACATCCACACCACGTTTGTACCATTCATCTATGCTACTATATTGCTTCTGTTTCTCGGGTTGTGGTCTTTGATGTTTTAAAGTAGGGCCCTTAAAGTATTTATATCCACTTAGATTTTACAGTAATAATAATAGTATCAAACTAAACAATTACAAATTTTACCTGCGCTCCAAAATACCATGGTGTGGCACTAATATATTGTGGAATATGTGGATTGATATCTTTGCCTTCTTCATCTACAGCTGCTGGTGCTGTACCAGCTTTTCTTGCTTCTTCTAACTCTTTCGCTTTTCTCCAATCTTCTCTACTCTTTTTTCTCGGCTCATCTTCGAAATTACTTTTACTTTTTATAATTTTTGATACAGGTACGTTAGTTAAAGTGTTAGCCATTTTTATAACATAATCATTTGTTCACACAACTTTATGTTTACAACTAGATAGATAGCGCTAGTATTCCCCTGTTCCGGAGTCCCAGTCGGTAAGTTGTTGAATGGTTTCCGCCGTTTGCGTATAGATGGCGCTAGGATCGAATTTTAAAAATCATTTCTGGCGGTCGTTTTAAAATGAATATTTGTCAAACAATTGTTTTAATAATTTTGTAGTCTTGTGCTGATTATGATTGATTTCTAACAAATGCAATCAGAAAAGGTTAAAATTGCATTTTTTCAGTTGCGAGTACGAGGTATGGTAGAAGAGGGACTGATGAAACAGATGCAGGCTTAACCCCGTTTGGGGAAGTCTGGAATCCCCAAAAATATGATTCCTCGAGGACAATGGCATGTCCAGTCCTTTTGTTTCTGTAGTTATTGTTATTACTTGAATTTAGAAAGAGATAATAAGTCCTCCTAAAGCTTTTATCTCTTTCTAAACTGCGATGCCCGTTTTCAACGAGATGACATATCTATATTTTCTTTCAAGATAATTTGATAAAGATCCTTTATGCGTAACAGGAAATGTACTTATATAACGACAATTTTTTAATTTTACTTACTACCAAGGCACTTATGCGTAAAAAAAATGTTTAATCATTATGTTGTTCGATGGAAATCGCCTTAAGTAAGACCCATTTAAAAAGTAGTGATTTATCGACAGGATTGGGCCTTATATAAATAGTATGTATCAAACCTGAGCCTTTCACTGCAATATTTTATTCAAAGAATGTAATTAAGTGAGTTTACAGAATGCATGTTAATTAATATTTGTAAGAATCCTGGTACGTTTTAACTTTATTATAAAAAATAGTTATGATTTCCAGCTGCTTCGGGAATTGGAATGTTTGATCAAAATGGAGGTACTGCCAAATAGATCGATATTGTTCCATAATGTCACTTATTATTGCTGATTCTTCTATTTGTCGCCTACTAGTAAGTAAATACTTTTCAGAATCTCTCTAATATAGAATACTATACTGTCTCATCTACTTATTAAGATAATTGATTAATTATCAACATACCCGCGAAATTTAAGTTTTAATCTTAAAGTAGGAAAAAAATATATTTAATTTATTCTTCCCTTTTATATATCTTGTTTTTAAATTCTCAAATAATAAAGTAAAACAATTGTTAACAAATTCTGTATGTAATTTATAAGTATATCTTCATTTTTCTTTTCTTTTTTCATTCAGAATAGAGCATGGAATGGATGGATCATGTCCGCTTCTTCTTCCATCCTTTGGGGAAAAGGGCAGCTCTGAAAGGGAAACTGTATATTCATCTCAGAAAGTGGGTGTATATAGACCAACTTCGGATACAGTTGACTTAGGATACCATACTTTAGACAATAATGCATGCCGTTCTACACCTTCATCAACTGTTATATCAGTTCCCATTAGACATCAAACTTTGTTGCAACAAAAATGCATTTACATTACCGATCTTTGTCAGTTGAATGATACTTTATTATTGAAGATATTTAGTTGGCTAGGTACAAGAGATCTCTGTGCTGTTGCTCAAACTTGCAGACGTCTTTGGGAAATAGCATGGCATCCATCCCTTTGGAAAGAAGTAGAAATACGTTATCCTCAAAATGCAACAGCTGCATTGAATGCTTTAACTAGACGAGGATGTCACACGCATATTCGTCGTCTTATACTCGAAGGTGCTGTTGGATTAGCTGGGATTTTTGCCCAGTTACCATTTTTAAGTTTAACTTCTTTAGTTTTACGACATTCCCGACGTGTTACTGATGCAAATGTGACTAGTATTTTAGATAACTGCATACATTTGAAGGAACTGGACTTAACTGGATGTATTGGTGTAACAAGAGCTTGTAGTCGAATAACGACGTTACAATTACAATCACTAGATCTCAGTGATTGTCACGGAGTGGAAGATTCTGGTTTAGTCTTAACGCTTTCTCGTATGCCACATGTTGTTTGTTTATATTTACGACGATGTACACGTATAACTGATGCCAGTCTCGTAGCAATTGCTTCTTACTGTGGCAATTTACGTCAATTGTCTGTTTCTGATTGTATAAAAATCACGGATTTCGGAGTACGTGAATTAGCGGCACGTCTTGGTCCATCGTTGCGTTATTTTTCAGTCGGAAAATGTGATCGTGTATCGGATGCCGGTCTTTTAGTTGTCGCTAAACACTGTTACAAATTGAGATATTTAAATGCTCGCGGCTGTGAAGCACTTAGCGACAGTGCTACTTTAGCTTTGGCACGTGGATGCCCACGCTTAAGAGCTCTTGACATAGGAAAATGCGACATTGGTGATGCAACTTTGGAAGCCCTTTCCACTGGATGTCCAAACTTGAAGAAATTATCCTTATGTGGTTGTGAACGTGTCACAGATGCTGGATTAGAAGCATTAGCATATTATGTACGAGGATTGAGGCAACTAAATATTGGTGAATGTCCTAGAGTTACATGGGTCGGATATCGGGCAGTAAAACGTTACTGCCGTAGATGCATCATAGAACACACAAATCCTGGTTTCTCAAGCTGAATCTTTTAAATTATTTTATGCCTATGTTATTTACGATGTATTTATTAACAACACTTGTCTTAGTACATATCTAGATACTAATTTGTAAAAAGATAGCTATTTAGTAATTCCAAAAATATATATATACATTATATGTAGCGAATTACATTGTATGTATGGTGAATGTATATGATGCAGGTATGTACAGGGCGTCGAGAAAAATTCAGGACACCTTGTATATACACGTACGCATGTGTGTGTAGATTTAAATTTGCAAAAGCTGCTTTCCCTATTTATTGATTTTATAATTTAACAATGAAAAAATAAATCTTAGTTTCATATTTGAATAAATTAAATTTTATATTTCATCATTCTTAAATCTATACAGATACAGTATGCAATATTCTTATATATTTATGATGAAACCTCGTGTAAAACATCTGTAATATTTAAATCGATGTGTTTGAATGTTATTGGTTCAAAATACTACTACGTCTGTCAAGTGAAATGGCTTGTTCAATTGAATAAATGCGTCAATTGAAACAATCGGTGATGATCGTGAATATGAATGGTAATTATAAAGTATAAAAACTATAATGTAAATATTATTATAGTGTTATATTTATTTTATTATTTTTTCATGTATTAAAACTATTTGTTTTGAGATTGACAGGATGATTTGAATTTTAAATGATCCTGTAAATCGGACAATAAATGAGAAAAGGTTATACGTATCAGCAAGTTTATAAATTTGAATGAAATCATGAGACCTGTTCAAAGAAGACAACAAGGGCTGCAATACGGCATTTATTTGCTGTGTATGCAAGCTATGAATTTTGGTATCGAGCAAATTCCACCAGCTACTTTGATATTAATTATTCTACAAGTAAATAATTATTTAATCATTACCTAGTTATGGTACAGTCAATAACTTAAGATTAATAATATTTTTATTTCTATAGGTTCTGCTATATGTTGGTTTAATAAAAGTTTCATGGAATGCAGAAGAAGTATGCATATCTGCAGTAAAAATATTTAAATACCGTGATTGGAGATCTTTTATAGTATCAAATTTTGAACATGGCTCAGATATGCATCTGTATTATAATATGGTGTCATTAATCTTAAAGGGTTCATATTTAGAACCCATGTATGGGACAATAAATTTTGTTATTTTATTAGCTGTCCTCTCGCTTGGATGTAGTGCTGTGTATACGTTTTTGGGTTATGCTTTAATGCATTTAACTGGAGACTATGGATATTACACACAGTGTGCTATTGGATTCTCTGCTGTTTTGTTTGCATTAAAAGTAATTGTAGTTTGTGAGGAACATGATAGAATACATGATGTTGGTGGATTTAGAGTTCCTAGTAAAATAGCTGTTTGGGTTGAGTTGGTATTAATTCATCTGTTGGTTCCTCAGTCTTCATTTCTGGGACATCTTGGAGGTATTTTGGCTGGTTGTTTATATTGTTATACTTTTGTTGGCGAAATGATTGACAACTTAATATATAATATGAGTGGTACTCCTATTATACATGAAGAACAGTTTTACAGAAGACGTGGTTCACTTTTTAGATAAATTTAAATATAAGTTAATATTTATTGAATTTATAAAAGGTTGAAGCAAATACACCTTTATCATATTTCATTATTAAAATTAATATATAGTTCCGTTATTTAATTTATTAATTACTAACAACACAACCCGCGACTTGACACCTTTTGGAAAGATATACTATTTGTATGATATACATATGTACATATAAAAACTGTAAAACTGTATTTTAGATGATCTTACGAACAATATTTATTACAATAATAAATTAATTTTCTATTAATGTAAGTGTTAATTTATTTACACGTTGTTCATAGTTTACCTAACTATATGTATAACAAAAGAGCTTGATGAAAATGATCAGTCTATGTTCTCCACATTTGTTCAATTATGAAATATAAATATAATTTAATTCAATGATCATCTTCTATACAAATACACCATACAAAACTAATTTAACATAATTAATATGATTTTAATATTTTATACAATTTGCACAATGTAACATTGGGTAGTTTAGATCTACTTTCCGGTTTTAATAACGATGTTACTGAAAAGGTAATAACATAATTATAATAATAGTATAAAAATATATCTTTAAAAAAAGTAAGGAACTCACAGATTGTTTGATGATCTATTTTATGAGGTATGTCATAAAATACGAAATACGAGCACATTTTTCGTAACGATATTGTATCACCTCGAATATTTCCAGTGGTTAGATAAGATTTAATATATGGTGTTAACTCTGTAACACAAAAGATTAGAATATCAAGAATGTAAAAAGGTCGAAGCGAGTAAAGAAAATGTAATAATTACCATGCTCCCAGCTATCCATAATAAAGGAAATTTTCTGCTGTATTGCAAGTACACTCTCTGTGCTAAGCAATGGATTTTTATTATCTGTATAATGTTTCTTTAACATATGAGATGAAACAAGTTTTATTTGCCATATAGAAAAACTGTTCGGTTCTTTTTCTGCAATCTCTAAACTTTTTATCAAATTCATCCATAAGGGAAGAAGACTCACTTTATCTTTTATCACACATTCGCAAACAATTATAGCAAACGTGTGTAGAAATTGTTCTTCGAATTCCGACATATCAGAATACTGCGTTTCACGTATATAACTAATATCTTTTAAATCAGACGATAGATCTGCAATTTCCATTTTTTCATTACAAGAATATGATTGTCCATTCCAACTACCACTAATTTTTTCAGATGTATCACTTAAGCTTTGAGTTAGATATCCAGAACTGCTTTTACCTAAACTACCACAAGATTGCGTTTTCAATGTATTTTCGTTTTTAATCTTCTCTTTTTTAGGCCACTGTAAAAAGTACTTCACTATATTTAAAACAGTTTTGTCATTTGTGAAAGAAGTCACACATTCAGGACGAGCCGCCCATGCAATAACATTTTCTGTTGTTAATGTCTGAGCAATTAAACTTCGGAAACCCTTTAATAAACAATAATAAATGTTAGTATATCTATAAATTGCAGATTATTTCTTGTAACAAATTAATAATTACGTGAGGATCTTCTATGTATGGTAAGCAGCCAGCTCTTTGTTTCACACTTAAGTATTCGCAGTTTTTAAGCATATTCTCTAGTTGCTGCCAATTGTGACCCTTTTCAAAAACGATTTCCCAATACCGATCATCCTTTAGTTCAAGCTTCCTCATGTTACACAACTGCGGTAGTAAACACGGGGCTTGAAGGACTAAATCTTGTCCTTCAGCTTCTTTTTCCGATTCAAAAGTTAAATGTACCGTCGCATAGCAATACTGACCACTGTCGATGTCTCTCGGTAAAATAACGCGTGGTTCAGCAGCTAACACGTACAGATGTCGTAGTGCCTGTAAATGATATCTACAAACAATCAATTAAATAAATTATTAGATAAGAAAATTCATTTCCATAAACGAATAGATTCGACACCGACCTATTATCATTGCTGTGCGTTGGAAACTTTGGGAAAAGAGAAATTATAAGAGCAGCCACTGCACTGGGACTGTTGGAAAGAGTATATTTTCCTCCTCCAAGGAAAAGAAGGCCAAGAGCCATATGTGTTGCTAAATGAGATCCATATGTAACAACACTACTTGCTGGCCCTACTCGAGTCCTTATATGTCGACATATTCTCATAATCTATATCATAAAGAAATAAATAATTAAGAAACACATAAGGGTACTAAAAAATAGAACTATTAAATATACCTCCAAGTTTCCTGTTCCTGCCATTACAACAGCAGCAGAAAGTAAAGTAACATTCAAACACGTTTCGATAGTTGATTTCCCTGCTAATTCAGCGATGGTTTTATGGGACAACGCCGTAAACATTTGGGCATAATTGTACAAGGTTTTGAAAGCATCCTTATTAGCAGTGCCGGCATACTTTAAGCCTAGAGCCATACAGGCACCAGCAATTATATTACAGTAGGCTTGGCTATAATTTAATTAATATTGATTAGTATAAAAAATAATATTATATTACGTACATTTGATGTACTTACTTCATGGTTTCTAAATCCACGCTTTGCGCTATTTCAGAAGTTGGTTTTTGTAATCTATATTTATAAACGATATTAGGAACATGACTGGAAACCCAAGATTTTGTTGGTTCAATTTCATTCCATAGGATAAGTGACTTAGCTAATATTCTCAATAACAAGAAATCAGGTCGTACGAAATCTAATAGATATTGAGTATCAGGAGCTTGCATCCATTCTGCTACTGCTTTATTCCCGGTATTGAAATACATAAGACCTAAGGCTATAGTTGCTCCTGGACTCGTTACGTCGATGTTTATAGAATCACCTTCTCTTATTTGGTAACTAAAATTATTTGTAACAAAAGAATTAATAAAAACTATAGAAGTTTGGATTTTAGAATGAATGTATTTACCTAGGTGATTTGTATTTGTCTTTTTGTGCACCAGTAAAAGGTCTAACATGTCCACCGACCATGTAATAATGTAAAGTATCTGGTATACTGGCTAAGTCCGATCCACTTCCATATCCTAAGACTACCAAACCTAATGCCAATCCTGCTGCTAAGGAATACGATTCTCTATCCACGCAATTTTTCATTTCTGGACCCGGTGGCCTGCCTAAATATTTTGAATTATTTAGATATTATAATAACTATACATATATGTATAATAATCATAGCTGATTTTCTATAGTTACCAATTTCTGATAACAAAGCATGTGAAATGTGCCTGTGAGCAGTTCCTTGATATACCAGACCAACTCCCATCAATGCAGCAACTTGAACATTTTGCTGAACGTTCAGTTCAATACTAGTTGGCGGTAACAATGTTTCCACGTGCAGAGATAGAAGTTTAGTCATTGATACGTTCATTGTACCACGATGAGTTGCTGATAATCCTAGCAAAAGGCCAACGCTAGTGGCTTCATGACACTCGACCAGATATTCGTACATACTAAAAGGCGCCAAGTTCTTTAGATGACCATTTAAACCAAGAGCCATTAAGAATCCTGAATGTTCGATACCGAACTCTCCTTGTTGTTGCTTATTATATACTATCCATGTCGAATCAATGTTAGACGCATCTGGATGAATGCGAAGACCTGCAGCTACACCATTATGAAATAATGGCCATAAATTCATGTTTGGAGGGACGTCTATGTGAGCTAATTCTATAGTAGTCCCACGAGGAGGTGCTTTTCCTATAAATATAATAATAATATTTTATAACCGTCAGAGAATTGTATAAATATAAATACTATTTCATTCGTACCAGTTAAACAAAGTCGAGGGATCGGTAATTGTTCTGTGATAATAGGAGTAGAAGTTCTGAGAGTAAACATTCCTCTAGCTACTGGAAGAGCCATTGTTCTCGTGCACAGTGCATGTAAGTGCTTCTCCTGTTCTTCTATGAATTCATGATCACTTACATCTGGTCTTTGTATTATAGCTATTCTTACTGGCTTTGATGAATTCAGAAGTTTTCGAACTTCTGCTATTCTATGATCTTTATTGAATCTTAATTTCAATACAGCATCATCAAACTCCATGCCATCATCTTGTTCAGGATCTTTGATTGAATAATTTTTTCCTTCATTTTCTACGTGTTGATTTGACGCAGTAAATTTTATGTGTTTGTCTAATACAGCCAAATCTTGACGATCTACTAATTCATATGCCTGCATCGGCCAATTTGACGGAGGTCGTTCTCTACATCTGTACATTATATCTTTTAACACTAATGATATACCAGTAGGTAACGTTTCAAGATCCTTTTTATTCATACCTAAAGGAAACTTATCATAAGTTTTAATTCTAATATAACATTAATAATATTCAAGATGGATAAAAACTTACCCATTTCATGATACAATAATACTATTCTATCTATTGTAGGATGTTCGACCCTTTTTAATATTTCCTTTTCATACTTATTTCCACCTTCTTGAAAGTCTATTCGACTTCCAATTGACATTATATGTTTCACAAATTTATCAATTTCCAATGTATTAACTTTATTTTCATTTGCTATGAGTGCCATTAAGTAAACTATATTCTTTGTTTTAGGATTTACTTGGCTCAAGTAAGGGAATGGTACTATCTCCACATGATTTAATAAATTATTTAATGTTTCAAATATATTCGGTGGTTTCGACGATATATAATTTGGCATAGTAATTTTTTGTAAATCTGCTTCTTTAATTTGAGATGTAAAATTTAATTGACATATTGATGGAAAATCGAGAAAATAATGATGGGTGTACATATCAAATCTTAAGTCTGAACTTAATTGATAAAGCAATTGTGCAAGTAAAGGTAAGCTTTCTGACATTACACAGTTTAACTTTAATTCTTCGTACAAAAGATGCAAAGAAAATAAAACAAGTGGAAAATATGGAAACAGAATAGATTGTACATTTATTTTTCCTGCACTATTTGATTCCACGGCGTTTGGTACCGACATTTGAAACGTGCTTGAAGTTTTTTGAAGGCCAAGTATATTTGAAAGGAAAGTCTGAGAATTTCCATTTTTTACAAAACTAATCATGTACTTCCAATCGTCGCTAGATCCAGAATTATTTGTTTTCTGCTTTTTTGGCACTACCATAGGACTATTGCGTTCAGCAAATTGATCTTTCTCATGCTTTTGAATTAACTGTAATTTTTCTACTTCGTACCCCAATAATGTAAACAATACTATAAGAAAAAGGCACCATTCTTGTTCTGGCGAAAAATCTTGAGGTCCAGGGGCATTTCTAGCACCGTACCATTTTACTAGTAACTGCATTGCCAAATCCTTTTGCAAAACACTTCTTAATGTATGCAAACATTTAGTTACTGTGAAAAGTTATATAATTGACATATGTACAGTAGCCACATAAATATGTTTAACATATAATTATATTTACCTAAGGGTGATGTACTCGATGTCGGTAACGTTATTCGAAAGTAATTCTTACTTCCATGTTCTAAAGTAACTTTGTTCCCTACCGCTTCTTTCAGTACAAGAAAATTAGAGTCTACTAAAGAATTTTCTAAAAGAATAGGTGGTCTTGCACAATTATCACCTACAGGACTTAATAAATGTAATCCTTCTTCAAATTTAATATCATGAGAAGGAACATAATTTTGAGAGATCAATGAACTTCGTCGTGGAAACGGAGAACCTAATTTATGATTATTACTAGATAAGAAGTAGTGGCATCCACTCAAATTGGGAAGTATTCCCGTTACATGTAACTTGCCAATGCAAGTTACACCAGAGTATAGTACCACTCCATTTGATAAATCCATTGTTGCTATCATATGTAAATTCTAAAACAAGTTAATTTATATTATATTCATAGTATTGTAATCAAATGTAATAAGAAGGTTATTAATAAATACTAACTGGTACATTAACAGCATCTTTAGCTACAATACTTGTTACCATGCCGAAAATGATTTGTTGCTGTTTGTTAGTTTTCTCAAGCCTTACTAAATACAACTGAGATCTATACGGAACTAAGTAACATAAATAACTTTGGCCTACGAGATCTGATGATAGGAAAACTTTAGACGCTCGACAAGACACGGCATCCCTTGAAGAAGACGAAAACGATTCATAAAGATAAAAGTGTAAAAAACAATTAACGCCGATAATATAATACTTACTTTGGAATTCCAACATTTTCAGTCCAAACATGATCAAGACAAATTTCAGGGTACAAAGGTTTACTTGGTATAACAACATCTTGTAACTGCATACTGTTGCAATTACCAAAAGGACTGTTTTGTGAATGACTTAAGGCAGTAGTCATAACTGCTTGATGTAACCTGCTGTGGTGGATAACTGAGCTACCTGGCACACCGAGTAAAGGTGAGAAAGCAGAATGAGTAGGAGATTGACAGCGCGAAATAGTTGCCATTGGACTTTGAGATCTAGAATGTTGTTGCTGTTGTTGAGAAGGTGATGGTCCCCCGGAACAAGTAGTAGTATAAGATGTTCGCGAGCTAAATGGACTGTGCGATACTCCTAAACCAATACTTAATTGTGGATTTGGTACTCCTAAGGAATAAACATGTTATTGTAAATTTTTATTTTTTATTTTTAAGATGAAGTTTATTGAATTATAGTTGCATAATTTACCAAATATGCTTAAATGTCCTTTATTTGTACAACTTTTGTTATGTGAAATATTATTTCCAATATTTAACGGAGATGCACTCATTGAATGATTAAAAATACTAGGTGTAGTGTCATTATTTCCACAAACTATCTGACATTCTTCTGCTAAAGCTTTACGTATTTTATATACAGAATGTAACCCAGTCTTTGCATCATATATCACAGCCAAGGATGGTTCAGAACTAGTAAATAGAATTTGTTGATTTGAGTCATACATATATGATATGTTTCCTGTAAATATTAATTGTACATGTATATATTCAACATTTTAATTTTAAATGAAATAACGATTTATCAAATTTATGTCAGTACCGTGTTTAATAAGTACAGGACAAATTTCATCTAAAGGATGCATTAGAGAAAATGCCACTGGTAAATTAATGTCATTATGCGATTGTAATCTATTTCCTTCTAGTGATGTGTATCTGCTTGTTTCATTCAAGGAAACTTGTGTTTTTTCCAACAAAATCCCATATTTTGTTGGCCATACAGCAGATACCTAAATCATAATCACATAATTAGTTTCTTACACTAAGATTATACATAAATTTCATTTTATTCAATGTGTTACCTGAAATTGTAAACTAGACACATAATCTTCTCCAGTTTCACTAAATACTTTAAGGGTATATGAATCAATTAAGCAAATGCATTCAACTGATTCATCATCACTTTCCTCATCTTCCATTTCTTTGCCTTTTGTTGACCGATCAGGTATATTAACATGAAATTTACACCATAGTGCATGTTCAATATCTGTTTCACAAGTATAACTTGTTTGCAATACTCTAGTACTTTGATTGCCCTTTGAATGAATTGCAATTCTGCCAGAACAATACAACTCTTCTTCACCAAATGTATCATTTTCTCGTACAATCCAAAATTCTCTCTATACATGTAATTATTTAATGATATACTAAATATTAATAGATTTAAATACATAAGATTGATTAGTTTACCGGTAATCCTTCCGAGATATTTACACGACTAAATTTCTGTAACAGAATACTTTCTCCTTCTGTTTGATTACTTAAAGACTGCTGATTAACTATTGATTCAGGATGTCGTAAAATTGTCTGTCTTCCACCAGGAATATACTCCTTTAAAAAGAATACATTATACAATTATAACTATTTAAGTAAATTAATCTTTTATCATTGAATCTTATCGTTTCGGGATACGTTAATGTAACCTAAAGAACGTATCGCTTACCACCGGTTCTGAGGCGGCAATCATCTTCTCCCTAGTTTCATCCAGATTTGCAAGCTATGATTATTAAAGACTAAGAAAACAATATTACTTGATATTTATTTTAGACCGTCGTTTAAAAATGTTTCTGCAAATAAGATTTGACTAAATGGTGCGTCACCATGGACGTCGCCATATTCATATCAATATAAACTTTACACCACTATGCGATTCGAAACCTTCCGGAGTTGTTGGTAAATAGTTTAGCCCAAACGGCTAATCAGTTATTGTTGGTTTGAATATGTCGATGATATTCATTTAACAGTAATGTAATAAATAGTTCAGTAAGCAATTACATTTATAAATCAATTAGTTACCTTTGATTCACATGCAAAATGTCTACTTCTGAAAATTTACGACGATCTTCTCGAATAAAAGCTCGTATTGAAGGTAATGTCTGTTAATAGTGAATAACAATTATATGTTATGATGATAGTCAGATTTTGAATAATGTATTATTTTAAATTGCAGAAGGAAAATGTATGAAATATGTGTCATTAAATAATGAAGATGAGAATTACATGTCAGACCTAACAAGTAAACTAAGAAATGAACTTGAAAATGTTGAAGAAATTGTACAAAAACCAGTTGGTGAGTTTTAATAAAATACTTTATCCAAATAATGTTAACTATATTTGTGATTTTTAAACTATTAAAGCATGTATTGTGTATTTAGAATTATTTTCAAATGACGATGTAAGTGGTAAGGCATTATATGGATTTCAAACACCTAATAAAAAAAATGCTATGGCACATAAGGCAAATCTATGTTCTACACCTGATAGTTCAAAGGAAGAGAAGCTTGAACCAATAATTATTCTTGAGAAATTGGATTTAGTTGGCAACATACCATCGACAATAAATTCTAAAAAATTTAGTGCAAAAAGTATGACTTTTATATGACTATTAATGTATAATGAAACATAGGCTGTTTCAGTATCAATAATGTGATGCTATTAATTTTTGTTTTCAAATAAGTAGTTCCTGTTAATCGAAGATCTCCTTCTGGATTATCCTCAAGTGAAAGTGAAAGTGTATCAGATTCTACTGATTATGTACCATCCGATGATGATAATGAAAATGAATCAAGCCAAAGTGAAAATACTGAATCAAGTAATGATGAAACAAATGAAATTAAAACAAAAATTCAGGAACACAAATTTATGTTGCAATCAAACTTGTTAAGTACACCAAAAAGAGATACTAGGAGAAACAAACCTATGGTTATTCATAAAGATTTTGTAAGTAGAATGTAACATATATACCATGCAATTTAAGTAAATTATTTATGATGATTTTTAATATTTTTAAAGCACTTAAAAACTGAAGAATATTTTGCAAAACAATCAGAAAAGGTAACCACATCCGATCGAACATTAGAACATTTACGTAACTCGCATTTAACAAAAGAAAAATTAGAAGAATTATTAGCAGATGAAAATTATATATCTGTACAACATAAGAAACATATTTGTTCTTTGACAGAAAACTATACCATGTTATTTCCTATGTGGTACTTTATTATGGAGTGAGTGTTAAATAAGATATTAAGGTATATAACATCCTACACACTTGAACTTTAAAATAATATCTTACTTTATGGTAGGCAGGGTTATACTGTGCTGCTTTATGGTTTAGGATCAAAAAGGTGCCTAATTAATGATTTTCACAGAAGTGTATCTCATCACCCATCATTGGTTGTGAATGGATTCTTCCCTAGTCTGACAATAAAGGATGTAAGTTGCTTAAATACAGTTTAAATATCTAAATAATAAAATAATTTATGCTACTATGTTTTAGATACTAAATGGTATAATCGTTGAGTTATTGGAATTAAATTGCCCTAGCAACATGAACGAATGTATAGATCTTATAGAAAACGTGTTAAAGAAAAATCCAATGGATAAACTTTATTTGCTAATACATAATTTAGATGGTATAATGTTACGTTCAAATAAAGCTCAGGATATACTGTCTTGCCTTACAAGCATACCAAACCTTTGTGTTTTAGCGTCGATTGATCATATCAATGCACCATTATGTATGTTTAATTTTGCAATAATACTTCATTATATTTCTAATAATTATCACGTACCATTGCGTTTGCAGTATGGGATCATAAAAAACGATCAAAATTTAATTTCTTTTGGTGGGATACAACAACATTTTTGCCTTATAAAGAAGAAACGTCTTATGAAGGCTCACTTTTGGTAAAACAAAGTGGAGCTCTTGCTTTATCATCTCTCCATAATGTTTTCCTTTCATTAACTTCCAATGCCAAATCAATATACATACTACTTGCCAAGTATCAACTCAGCAATAATACTAACGCTAATTTTACTGGTAATTAAAACTTTTTAACTTGGTGAAATGTTACAAAGTTCCATACAATTATTAACTTAACATTCATTTTTATCGACAGGAATGGCATTTAAAGATCTTTATCGAGCTGCTCGTGAAGGATTCCTCGTAAGCTCAGATTTAGCATTAAGAGCCCAGTTGACTGAATTTATAGATCACAAATTGGTAAAGGTAAAACGCAACATTGATAGTGTTGAACATCTTATAATTCCGTTAAGTAATGGACTTTTAAAACAATTTTTAGAAGAACATGAATCGTGAAATTTTTATTGATCTATTATTTATTTTCTACTTTTATATCAGATAGAGTTAAAACAATAGTTTCTAAGAAAAAAGAATGCATTGTACAAAAAATAAAACAAAGAATCTAATAATTTTTTAAGAATCTAAATTATATATAAGTTCTTTATATTAGGCTTTAGAATACGAAGTATTTTAGGGGAAATTACAGGTGTTTGTAGAAATTTTTTTTCTTTTTTTAACCTCAGAAAAGTTTTTTTTAGTGATTCTAAAAGTGATTCAAAAATTTTGAATTTCACTTTCTTTTTATTTTACGAGGATATACGTAGGAATACATAGAATATGTTGGTATCATTTGAAATAAAGCGCCAGTGGTAACATTGTGTATTATGTTTTGCGTGTGATTATAACACGGCAGCCGGGTAGTGAATAGAATACAGTAACAAACAGTAACATCAATGATGTCAGATACGTTAGATCGTAGGTAGTGTTACGCGTTAGCAAAAAGTTAAACGAGCGAAAGCTCGTTATACGCGCATTTACTTCATGATTCGATAGGTAATTATATTGTTCCAAATTGTTTCTTTTTGTGGTTTCGAGTCGAATAAAAAATAGAAAAATTATTGGTACTGTATAAAACGTCTCGAAGATATAAAAGATACAATTGCACAACGTATTTAGTGTACAATTACCGGCTTGTTATTCGGTTACGCTTCAACCTAACCTAACTTTTCGTTATAGATATTTCAACGAGGTTATTCAATCGCGTTGAGATACTCGAACATTTTCTTGGTTACGAACAATGTCGTAAGTTTATTAAAAATGTTAGTGCGTGGGTATGTGTGTGTATATGCAGCATCGCGTGAATTGCAGTTCCGATTTGACATTGTAAACATGACGACTTGACCTTACAATGGCAAGTTGGACGACCTTGACTTTGGCAAGTATACAATGACCGAGTAGTTGCTTTTGTCGATTAGAATTAAATATTTTATAGTTTTGATAATACATTTGATAGAACTGTATGTCAGAAACGATCTATGGCTTGTAACAAGTTATACATAGCTATAAATTTAGATTGATTTTTTAAATGCACACATATCCTTTCACTAAATATATGCATATATCTCAAGCATATAATCATTATCACTTTTTGCATCATCATTATTTTATTTGAAATTAAAAATAATGCTCATTTATTGTCAGAGCTTTTTCTTTTATATTTTAGTAAGTTTAGTAAGTTTTGTATTTAAACAAAGATATTTGAATTTTAATTTAGATGTTTTCTTTTTGTTATAGATGATCCACAAGTACAGTTCCTATGGCATAGTGGTAGTTGCTCTGGTACTCATGTTTCGGTGAGTCATTTAATTCATATTTAATTTTATGATAAGCTATCTTAATACTGACATTGATGTATCATACGATACGATACTTTATGTTTCTTTTAATATTGCTTTCTTTTAAATGGAACTTTCTCATACATTTTAAGCTATTATTTTATTTATTGAAAATGATAAAACTTATTTATAGCTTTCTGTGATATGTTATCATTTTATACAATCAACCTATATACCTATGATTATCAGTATCATAAAAAAAAAACTATTTACAAAACAACAGATTATTTTCTTATATAATCTATGATATTGTATGTTATATAAAAAAAAAAGGAACACGAAAACTAGAATATGGTCGTGTTCTTAAATTTTTTTTATGAATGTATCCATATATGCATTAACTTTTAATTTTTTTTTATATAAATACACATAATGTATTATATATACATACATATATATATATATAAAAGACAGTATTCATCTTTACCGACAGAATTGTCTTTATTGACGGTCCTTTGGAATTTCGCAATTTTACCGCTAGATAACGCTGATGGCATTTTGTCTTTTGTAACGGTTTATTCTAGTCGGGTTAGAGAGTTGATTTTTAAAAATATTTTGTAACAATTTACTAACGAGAAACAAGTGATATTGATATTTTGTGTTATTCCAAAGGACAGTGCGGAATTTTCCAATTATGGCAGAAAGCTGTAACGTAAGTACGTGCAATTTGAATTAGTTATTTGTTAGTACGCATCATATTCTGTTTGATGTAAAACAACGTAATTATTCGAGATATTTATTCTAAAGCTTGACTTGTTAGTTAGCCTGAGTTTCATATCATTTAAATACGAGTAATATTTATCATTTTCGTAAATTGCAAAGTCAAACGTGTATCACGAACGATAACTACGTAACTTAATGCACTCGTAATTATCCGTCACGAGTGTTTCATTTAATCACCCACCACGATTGCGTTCTATTAAGAACAAGATTAGATTTAAATGTAGAGCGATAACAGAATAATTAATGTTTATAACATTAGGGATATTGGTACGGGGTAAGGTTCGTTTTCGGTTTGCTTCATTTTTCTACCGCCTCGTGGCTAATATCACGTAACGAGGCCTATGCAGATTTCACTTTTCTCAAGACAAACCAATTTCACCGAGTGGTCTGTCCATTTCTTCTTCGATGGCCATTACCTTTTACTTTCCTACCAATTTATTCCGCGTGCGATGATCGTTAAGCGATATTTATCGCGAGTAAAAGGACAGTACAGAATTTATCATGCTTCGGTATACCAGAAATGAACAATAGAGGATGCTCTTTCAAGAAACGGATCATTTGAATTTAAGGGCAGCTCGTTGTCGAGGGAGAGGTGGGGGCTCTCGTGCAACGACACAAAGAGCATGCTCGTGAACGCTTAACCAATTTCCGCTTGTTTTACCAAAATCGAGGTCGTGGAGCCGTTAAGCGTCAAGGATCACTTACGATCATCAAGATTCTACGTGTATGACTCATGGAACTCTTTTTATCTCGACTATGATTCCTTCTATATACGTCCTCGTGGTCGTTATACACACGGGTTCAAATAATGTTTCATCGTATCGGTTAAGTATCTTCGGCTTGATCTTCGTGCAATGCTGGATCGAGAATTTCAATTTGATGATGACGATGATTCAGTAGTAACAGATTAGGGCATAGCGTGACTCGAAATGACAATTTTCACAGCTGAATTGTGCTGTACGTATTTCCAGGAGCGGTTAGCAAGCGTCCGTTTAATCGGGTATTCGGCTTCCTGATAAAACCGGTTCAATCGATAAAGCTCGGTGCTCCGTTCCGCGGAAAAGTTTGCTGCCTGTACCCGGTAGCCCCGGTGCATTTATCCGGATCTCGTCGGCTCCCGATTCGAAGTGGAAATTCTAACCCCGCCGCCGACGACGACGACGACGACGACGACGACGACGACTGGGTGCTCGAGGGTGAACGCGTAACTTTACCAGACCCTATCGTCTTTTACCCGGCAATTTTAGCGTGTTTCTCCCTCGGAGCTTGAACGCATAGGGAAGGAAGCACCCTCGAAAAAAAAGCATACTCGTACTCGTATTCCGTGTTCGTATTTCTATTTGCCGATTCCTTTCTGCGTATAACCCGTTCCCCTTTCAACCTTCCACCAAATTGTTCTGTACGGTAAAACGAGTTTCCCTTCCACAAGTTAGGGGACGCTTATACAGCTTTCGGCTTTACCTTTAAATTAACGTAAATTCGCAGCTGGTAATTTACTGAAAGGTCTGAGAAAGAATTAGATTTCAAAGAGATTGTTTTTCTGAGAAAGATTCTTCTCTGGGAGAAGGGTTCGATGAAAATCACGTCGACGAGCAACGACGAGCAACGAGGATTATTGGTAACAGACATGCCAAGACCCTTTTCTCTGCCTCTCTCTCGACTTCTCTTCAACCTACGTATGACCTCGATAATAACAGTTATGAAACTTGGCCGCGATAGTGAAAGTGGCGTGTACAGGACGTTTCATAATAGCGGCGATGTCGCCGCTGGGAAGTAAAGGATATTTGATCGTCAAACAGTTTCACCAAATATACGTATCTCTCTTGAAATTGTTCGTAAACAATTTGAATCGAGTAACCCGTGGATTGTGTCTGGCTGAAAGTTTAAAAGCAGACGCGTGGAACGTTCAGCGAAGAAGAGAAATGGTGCAAGACAAGACGAGTCGAGCCCGGTACAAAAAGAAGGGAAGAAAAATGAAATAAAAGTCGACAACGTTAGAGAAAATAATTGTGGGTAATGCAACTCGCGTTGACACACATGTTATACGCGCGCCAGACTAGAGGGTTACGCAGACAAGTCGAGGTTGTAACATAATTTTCTGGTGTTTGCACGTGTCAGGGCTGCCGACGAGAGCTACTTTGCTTTGCTTCTGCCACGTTGCACAGAATCTTTTGCGTTACGAATTTACTCGCACTCGCATAAAATCAATTTAAATCAATTCTTCGGATGTTAGACTTTGAAAGAAATCATTTCCTTAAAAGGAAATTCACGTTGGAATATGGAGTAATTTTCAGGGAAAGGAAAGAATGCTAGGTACGTGTCTCCTTTACCTTCCCCTCGAACGAAAGCGATAATTTCAGACAGTGATTTATCACGGCGAGCGTGTCGAGTAGCGTTAAAGAAACACTGCGATAATTTCTATCGTAATGGAGAGGTATGTTCGATATCGAAACACTGCAACTTCCATCGATCCGATCGTCTGGAATATTAAAGAAATCAGAGGTCGAGACATTATAAAGTAGTTGTGCAATCTTCGAAGCAAAAATCGCTTGGGATTCGTCTTCTGCTCGATGGTGATTCGAGATAGGAGATATTCGAAGGGTTGGTTCCTCCCCTTCACGCCGAGCTTATCGTGCTTTGCTTTTCAAATGGCTCGACGCCTTTTTCCCTCGTTTCTTCACCCTCTTCTATTATCTTTTACGATCGATCCAAGACGAAACTCCAGCCACTGACATTCAATTCGCACGTGCACCTCCGTCCGAGCGACGGCGAACTTTGCAACACGATTCTTGAATCTCTTGTGCAAGAATATGATTGCTCGGTAATCGGTTGAAACGGTTGCGAACACTTGGAATCCTTGGAATTTTACGGATCGTTTCTCTTCTCGCGACTTTTTTTCTCTCGCGTTCATCTCGCGTAATCATCAGATTTACGGGGAGTAGATAATGCTAACGTTAAGAGAATGAGGAGGAGGAGGAGGAGGAAACATCATCGGTATTCGGTTAATCAATCGCAAAGCTGGGCCAGGCTAGAGACCCGGACGAAGCAGCCTCGAGGTCGACGAGGTTGGGGTTGCTGTACGTGCATTGCGCAAGAGCGTTCACCCCGCTCAATACTCAACGACACGGCACAAGTTTCCGGTTTGCTTGTGTCGGTGAACAGCAGCCAGCACTGGCTGTTCGTGCTCTAAACAGAGAAAGAAGGAAAGATAGATAGGGAAGAAGAGGTTGGATAGAGAAGGATAGAGGGAGGGAGGGAGGTAGCTAGCCAACCAACCACCCCCAAAATGGGTTACCTACCTTTACCCACTTTGTGTACGATGAACCCCGCCTTTGACAGAGACTCGCCGCGAATCTTGCGCGTTCAATCTTCGCACAGGAGCGATCTTGAAAATTTTACCACGATTAGATCGCGTGCCAGCTACCGAATAGATACATACTAGATTCACCAGTTTAAGTTTAAACTTTGCATCAGCTTACCAATGGAAACGTTATCGACGAGCAACAGATGTTTGTTAGGAAAAAAAAAAACAAAAATGTTCTTAGTAAGCCACGAGTCTTTCTCTCTGTCAGTTCTGGGGTAAGTGCCGTGGGGTTCGTCACAGGGTTCCTCTTACCAAAAGGCAATGCCTTGCCCATTATTCCGTGGCCAGATCTCTCTTTATCAGTCTAGTAAACCTAGTGTTAAATAAGAATGGTTCCTAGCGAATAACGATCAACATTTTGCTCGGTTACGAGGGAAAGTGAGTGAACTCTCTCAGCCGTTCGTGTTCCGTTGCAAAAAATAGTTTAACCGGCTTTCTACTAGGTGGCAAATGCCGTCGCAAACGCAACAGTATTAAAACGTTGTGTCAGTGTTCGTTGAACCGAGTCATGAAATCGTGTTTTCTTAAGCTAACTGAGACAATGACTATGAATGATCAGAAAATCATAAAAAAGGAATTTAATATTGCCAATAACAATTCCAGTGACATCCAATTTCCCCGGAAAAACCCGTGTACTACGTCCAGGTAATAAACTTCCATTTCCGTTCAATTTTTCGGCTGTCTCCCTGAAATTTCAACAAGGTAAAACGAGGTCAACTGATTCGATTTATTCGGTCGGTGGTGGTGGTGGTGGTGGTCGTTACATTTACGTAGATCCTCTCGCGATCGAGAGGAGAGAAACGTTCGCTTTTTCCATTTCTCGTATATCAGCGTGCAGTACAGGTAGCGGAAATGCACTTTCACCGAAAAACGGAGCACGCGTCGCTTCTTCCACGAAAGGTACGGATTGGATCGGATCGGATCGGATCGGATCGTATCGAATCGTCTGAGCAACGCTTGGATTCGCCAACGTTTCTCTCGAACAAAGTCGAATAACCGCGAACTGAACGAGTATTTGGGTTATCATCAGCGTTGCCGTAAAGGCTTTCTAGCTTTCTATGCTTATGCCAAGGATGTCCACATTACTAAGGATCCCCTGTCTCTCCTCACGCATCCCATTTAGTTCCTGTGTTAGGTTATTGTTGCTTGATACGTCTCTTTTTTTCCTTTTTCTTTCTTCACAATAGCTTCAGTTATTCTTGGCTTTCTGTGGGAGACAGATATCCGGTGACTGAATGCTTTTATTAATTGGTACATATTAGAGGTTTCTTTTTTCAGACTCTGTAACGGTTTCTGGTTCTTTTAAACGGTTTAGGACGGTGCTTTTGTCGTTTGAACGATGAATTAAGTGATTAATCGCTTTAAAAGATTTCAAACGTTTGTAGGCTACCAGCACTCTATTAGAAATTCGTCTGGCATAGAGTGTTCTTTTTATTACAACGAATTGCGAGTGTTTATCCGCAGCCTGATTTTTACTTACCTAATTACGCCGATGCTGATAATTAACCTCTTTTGTGATTCATCGTCGATCAATTCGAATGCTCTGATAATTACAGCAGGAAACGGTAATAATTTGATACTTTCGCGAATTGGCACGGTCGTCGCGCGAATAATTGTCACTTTAAATAACAAAAGCATTTCACCGAGCAATCGATACACGGTTATCGTATCTTCGAATCCCTGCCACGTTGAATTCGCCTCGTTTTTCAGCCACTCGATTTAATTAAGGTTATCGGTTGCGATGCTCGTAAACCACCAGAGATAACAGATCGTTTTGCATAAAGATAACTGAACACCGAGTGTGGCGCGATTAAGGCAGGAGAAAAAAAAGAGACGGCAATCTGTGTCGCTGGCTAATTAAGAGCAATCGTTATCTTCGCTATCACAAATGGATGTTTGTCGAGAATTTTTTTTTTTTTTCGCCGAAATTGAAACTTTAACGTCGTGAAAATATAAATTAGATTAGAAAAATGATCAGTATCGAAACGATCTTCCAGATTTACTCATTTCCACGTTAATTGCGGCTAAGTATGTATGCTGTGACTCGTGCTCCATTAGGTGTAACACGCATTCCAATTTGTACCGCGAACCTTTCGATCTGAAATTGCATCCATCTCTCCTCGCCTCGAGGTTTCCTGCTCAAGCATGGCTTTCAAAGCTAATTTTAATCAAAAGGAAAAAAAAAAAAAAAAGGAACACGAACGATTGTAAGAGAGAACTCGATTCTCAGCATTCAACACGGTTCACGCTGTGACCAACATGACTGGTGAAGGTTTATCTGCGGATCTGTTTTGGAGTAACCGTTGCTATTCTACTTATCCTCGCCGGTTTCACGATCTCCTGGCTTTCCTTCTGTTCCACATTAACCGTATCTCACTGCTTCATTGTACCAGATGTTTTTCTGCTGGTTTTACATTCAACGAGAAACGGAAAGCATCCTCTTTCGTGGTCAAATCAAACTTGGAACATAATTTCCTTGACGAGGCTCGAATCTCGTCAAAAGGATTATAAAGTAAAGTAAAGTAAAGTAGAGTAGAAACGTTAGTTTCGTGGATGTGTTCCATCGATCGAAGCAACGGTGGAGAAAAGAGGCGAGCCACCAGCACCGGCCGGTGTCCGTAGAGTTGATGGAGCAACTCGAACGGAGGGGTAGTTGCCCGTAGGTTTACCAGGTGAAAACGGGCTCCTGGTCGTGTTATCAATGCAGCAGGGGGAAGGGGGGAGGAAGAGCGAGCAATTGGTGTTACACCACCGTCAGAATTCGATGGAACTCGATATCAGCTCGGTGGTAACCTCGAAAACGGAGGCGTGCCTGTACACTGTACAGCCAAGCCTGTCACGAGTAGAGGGGGAGCACGTTACACATATTTGAGGTCAGGAGATATAAATAAATGCTAATATCAACAGGCGCTGGCCAGTTTGATATCCAAAGCCTCGTTTCGTTTCGTATCGTATCGTTTTGCTCGGCTCAGCTGCTGGCCTTTATGTTGCACACCTCCATTCCCTCCAACTTGGATAACTTTTATTTATCTAGGATTTCGAATAAAAATCAATGACTCGCAATCCTGGACAATTTAAAGTGTAATATTACTTTCTGTTATTTGTGTTTTGACCACCACCACCACCACCACCACCACCTTCACCATCACTACCATCACCACCACTGATCACAATTTAAGCTGTAATTGGCTTATGGATCCTCGATGCAGATCGATCGACCGATTTTCCGGGCAAACAGTTTCGGAGCAACGTAACCGGCTGTTGCATATTACACCTGTAATGTCGGTCGGTCGACTACGTATCGAGAGCCCACATGCCCACTCGCTGTGCCAGAGAGAATTACACACACGCCTCCGTATGTATGACGACTTATCTACGTAACCTACTCCACTTGTAACTGTTTGCGAGAACACTTCCTCGTTACACGTTAACCCGCCCAGCGTGTTTTCTATCGATTCCTCTATGTCGTTTACACACCTACCTCGAGACGATCGCGTTCATCTCTAGTTTCAGTCCTCTTATCAATTTCTCTCGCTTCGTTTCGCTTCCAATCTACGTTCTAATTAACGGGATAATTTACAGAAATCGTCAAGTTAAATCGTAAAGCGAGATAGTTCTCATCCAGTTGATTCGTCTAAAGTTTCTTCAATGAAAGATCCAGTTGCTGATTCGTTTATAAACTTTTAATCACCTCGACCGCGGCAAATAATTTTAATCGATCAACACGGGGCATCGTTTACCTGTCCTCCCTCGTGGATGGATGCGTGTACATGCAAGACCTTGCACACCGTTGGTACAGCGTTCGATTCGATCGATCTGTTGTTCTGTCCCTGACCTAACCTCCTATCTAACGTCTATTCCTTTATGCGAATTTAAACGCTAATTCACGGGAGCGATGTAAGGAAGGATTGATTTTTGGAAAACTATTAATTTCTGGTCGTAATCAAATGAAGTACATTTCGCAGTCCGGTGTAATGTCGCTGCGTGTACGGAGTAACCCCGTTTGCGAGAGAAACTTCTTACGCTTAAATGCCGCGCCGCGGCTGCGACACAGTGAATTATCGTTTTAGAACGTACTGGTGGCTTAATTAAACAGAAACGGAACCTACTTTCCAAATTTTCAAGCGGAGCAAACCGGCAGCCGAAAAAAAAGTGCGCCTGTTTGCGCGAACGTTAGGGAGATCCAGGTGCCTCGACCCTTTGCTTTTTCTTGCGAGATGCGTGGTTCTTCTTACGCTCCATTACCGTTTTCCTGAAATTTCCTGAAATAAGTTATACATAGAAAGTGTTAACGCGTTTGAGAGCGTGCGTTGTTACGGATAGGCTTCCTGATTCATCAGCGGTCAGTTACCGGGTTATACGAAAGAGATTTGCATGTCGGGTCAGAATGATAGGGCGAAAAATGAATCAGATTGGTCCTCGTGTGTCCGCGGAGAGTGTTGGCGAACGGAACAAGAACAGCCCACCATCCGATGGAAATCGGTGGAGTGGGGTGGACACTATCTTCATTCTGCTGTGTCCCTCTCACTGAGAAACGTTGCTCTCGATAGAACGAGAACGCAGGTGACGGGTCACCGCCAGCCAAGGCGCTATTTACCTACTTTGAACCTGCCTCGCACCTACTTCACCCGTTCACCTAAACTGGGCTGATTCTTCCTTCTCCTCCTCCTTCCTTTCTAACGTGGGTGGCCGAGCTTTGTGATCGCTTATGAAAGTTTGGTAATCGTTCGTTGGAGAGATCTCGGAGAACGTCGAGTGATGTATTGGAACGATAGTTTCCAGTACAGATTGTTTCATGCAACTGGGACGGGGTTGTGTATGCATTTTTTTGCAACAGGAAAGCAGTTGTACCTTTCCATCGGTAGATAATCACTATCAGCGAGAGTAATTCTCGATGCTATTGATCGATCGATGTCTCTTTGGAAATGGTAGATAGGATGATCGATCAAGTGGCGGTGGATATGCAAACGGGACGATGATACAAATTGGCCATAAATAACGAAGGTAATCGAGCGATCGTTCCGATACATAGCGTGGTTTACGCAAGATTTCGAATAGTCTTCTCGAGGAACGAGCAACGGGTATCGAAAAACTCGTCCTCTTTGAACGAGCACCTCGACCTGGCGCAATAATCAGCTTTAACCGGCTTCGGCGTGAAACGGATGAAATATCGACTAAATATAACCGGGGCCAGGAACCAGTGGAAAAGAGGGGCAGTCAGACACGGTGGGAGCCTCGTGGCACAAATGTAGGACATCGCCTCGTCTTCGAAAAATATATACGAACGGGATAGGGACCGATTATGTCTTACTGTTAATGCCGTTCATTCTCTATGGACACGATCAAACGGCTCCTTCATCCGTTTATTCGCTTTACGTTCCGGTCAATGTCCACATTCGTACCTATCCATCAGTGACTCTACTAGGGTCACTCTGAAAATTTTCAGAAACCTTCTATTATACAATTCCGTTTCATATGATTATTCTGATTTCTCTTTTGTCTCCGGTCGCCTCGAGCCGAACTTTGAAGAACCATAACTTTCACCCATGGAAAACACTTTCGCTCAGGAGTGTTCCGTATCGTTCGTCCAGCTTTTCACGAGGGTTGCCTTGGATATTCTAAGAGAAAGTGGATGAGATAGGCTAGCTATCTACCTGAAAGGACAAAGGTTTAAATCTTCACGGTTGTTTTACAATCAGTCTACTCAGATACTTGGAATTTCAAATATTTCAAGAGAAACATAGTATATTCTTGAATGTCAAAGGATAAAGCAAAAATTTGTGTATTGTCATAAGGGTTAATCGGAGAATCCTATATTATGCTACGAAGGTCCTTGAAACGACGACGGCGATCCAGAGAACTAGTTCAATTAGAGAAAACCGCGGAAAAGGAGATATCTCTCAAGTAGCGCATCGAGGTATGAGGGTTTCGGGGGCAAGCCATCGTCGTCATCGTCGCCGTCGTCGTCGTCGTCGTCGTCGTCGTCGTCGTCGAAATCGGCGACCTTCTCTCGTCCAGTAGAACCTTTCTCACGATAGGCATCTCTTCTCTTGACCACGACCCACTGTTGGTTACGCCTCTGGACCGCTTCACCGATATTCCCTCATTCGCTTCCAACATCTTCGATTCTATAACACAATAATGATTACGATTACGATCATTACCAACGAATGATTATCCACTCAACCTTCTGTTGGACGAAAAGCAGCCTGAAAGTCTTGTAGACGGAGCCCGATGGTCGCGTAGATGAAAGAGAAAAAGGTTTCTTAGGCGAACGAAGCGACGAAAAGGTATGGATGGAAGGATGGAAGGATGGTCGGTTCTCTGAACGAACGATCAGGCCGACAAGTCAGACGTGCCGAGGCTATGACCGCGTTTCTTGGTGGGCTAAGTGGCACGCGCCTACCTGCCCTCTCTTCGTCTTCGCCTTCGCCTTCGCCTTCTTCCTATGCCTCCTCCATTCTACTCTTCCTCTCCCTTCTCCATCCTCATCTTTCCCACCTCCCGATCAAATAGGCTGCACTCGATACCGCTCGCGTCCGCGACAAACCTGCTGGATCCTCTTCGTTTCCATCCATCTCGCACTCTTGTCGCCGCCTTTTTTCCCTTCCACTTCATTACCCGGTACACACGCCCGATGCTGGATCTTCACTTTCCCCGTTGAAACGGCGGCCCCCGGAAGCGTGGCTGAGACCGTGCGCCGTGTCCTCAACGGACAGTTTCCTGTACCCCAGTCGCCTCTTTCTTTCGTCTTTCGCCTTTCCAGCAATCAGATCAGCCTCGAGGAAATTGAATTCTCGCGTGTCATGGTCGTGGGTAATTTTACTTCTTCGTTCTGGATCTGTTTTTTTTTCTCTCTCTTTTTCTTTTCGATGAAATTGCGGTTGCTTGGTAGAGTGGTGTTCTTTTTCTTTAGGGTGTGCTCTGGTATTTGAGCCGAGGAATGTTTAAAAATATAATTTCTTGTTGATTACACAAACGGAGCAACTGAATTCTCTTATCAGCAGTGAAAAATGATACGGTTCAGAATCGTTGATGCATTCTTTAATTTGTTGGCCGATAATGGAGAAGCATCCCCGTAGCGCGCGTGGCTGATTTACGAGCGATCTTCGAACAGTTTGCGATCATATTCGCGAGCCATGCAAATACAAGAGCTTACCGTTTAGAAACAGGGTCGCATCACTTGAGAAGATCTCAATCCCTTCCTCCTATCCTATCTCTCTAATGTCTTGCTTGCATTCCTCTATCTCCCCTCTCTTCCTCGTGCTCATTATCGCGATTTTCCATTACCCTCGTTCGAATTTCCACGCTCCACGAGTTTGTTGCACGCTGTGTTACACATTTTACCCTTATTAGTATCGCGGCCCGACTCGTCCTTTGGCATTTTTCCTTTCGATCGGAAAGACTAAACTGCAATCATAAGATTCTGCAAAAGGAAGAAAGGTATACTCTGCACCGAAGAAAGAATGGAAGCTTAGAAATCGATGGTACAATCGGTATCGGTTCGCGCCTCGGTGAAAAGAAGTGAAATTCGATCTAGAAGTGGAACGATTACGAAACCTGTGCTTTACCATGAATTTATTCATTTTATTAAGGAAAAAGAAGTTTCACAATTTTTATGTAACCTGCAGTATAATGCTTCGTGTAGGTACCGTCAGACTTTTTCGATTCCTTTTTTTTTTTTTTTTCCGATGAAAATACTTTCGTCGATTATGAAAAAGGTGGATTTTATTGGATGAAATGACCGTTGATGGCAATCAAGGTGGTTAAGCTTGCGAGTACTTACCGTGAGCCAGCGGTGACCCACGTGGCAGGAGCGCGAACGATTCGACGATCACGCAAACGTTCCGAGTTCAGCCACTCGAACGAGAGTAGTTAGTTAGAAAGCCAACGTGCCAATCTGGTGTAATCCTATATCGTCGACATGGTTCAAGTTGGTCGCGTTGCCGTTCTCCGATGCAAGTAGGCGAGTTGCAGGTAACCGGCCCGACAGAACTAGGCGAAATTAGAATGTTTGCTCGATCGCGCATACACCGGATAACTTTTCGCCTCGAATCGATTTCAGGACAGAGAAGGGCTCGTACAATTTCTCACATTCCAAGATTT